CGTGTGGTCATCAAGTGTCATCAGGAAGTCCATTTGATGGATACAGAAAATGATCCCAAACATACAGACAGTGTCATTAGGAACAGAGTTTGGTGCAAAGAAGAACAAGGACTCCTGGGATAGATTGTAGGGCCGGCCTCAGCGCTGCTCTGATGTCAACATCATTAGGGTGTCTGAGATTACACGGAGAGAGAGAAGGGTTGAAGCCAACGTACGACCATGGAAGATCTATGGCTACATCTCCACAATGTTTGGAATAACATACCTCCTGGCATTCCCTAAAAACTGAGAGCTAGCGATTCTGGATGGTTTAATTCTTTTTCTGCTGAATTGGTTCCATTTTTTTTTTTAATTTTAATTTTCCAAACAGTAACACATCTGTTAAACATTTCCTGTGTTTATGTTTTAAATCATACGTACTAATCATACGAACTAAAATTGTGTTCAGTAAAGACTTAATAAAATCTGGAATAACAATTAAACATACGAACTAAAATTGTGTTCAGGGAAGACTTAATAAAATCTGGAATAACAAAACTAAAATTGTGTTCAGTGAAGACTTAATAAAATCTGGAATAACAATGCCAGATCCTGTGGCTTATCCAACACAACACCGGGTCCTTGTCCAACAGGATCTTTGGGTGTGGTGTGGTTTGGTGGGATTGGAGATTTGCCTCACGGTGGTGCCGTTATTAGATTTTCAGCCACCACTTGATACTGTGAGATCAGTGTGGACCAGACTTTCTGAGGGAATGTTTCCAGCAGTGTTTGTGACATGTTATTTAAAAAAAATAATAAAAATATTGGTGTACCTAATGAATTCTCTGAGTGGAGTACTATGTGTTAAAGAAACAGTAGTAAAATAATTGGAATGTTTTTGGTCATAAAATGTGGAGACCAGCAGCTCCAGTTACTTTGGTTTTCCTGGATGTTTGTTGTAGAAGCGTCCTTGACTGAAGAGGTGAAGCTCCTTTTAAAATGAAATAAAAATAACTTCATGGCCCTTTTATTTGTATATAATGGGGCTAATGATAGCTAACACAAAAAGATAACACAAAAGATGTGTTGTGTTTCTTTCCTATCTAAAGGTTGGCAGGAAACACTTTTATATTTGTTGTACGTAAAAGATGTGTTGTGTTAGCATCTTTCCTATCTAAAGGTTGGAAGGAAACACTTTTATATTTGTTGTACGTTTAGTGAGTGCGATGTCTGTTATGGTGTCATTAATAATTCTGTTGTCTTCACTGCAACGAGCAAATTCTGTGAGCGTCAATAAGTGGTTGTCAATTCATCGTTGTACCTCACACAAAAGAATGTGTGTAACAAACTCAAGTATTTTAGCAGAACTTGAAAAGGAATAGAAAATCAAATTTTTATATTATGTTGTAACTCCTCCCACTCTAACTCAATAACTAATTGCAGCCTGTCACGTGAGAGGAATTAGATTATTCAGCCTGTGTCACCTGAAAAATAGAAAGAACGTCAAAGACAACAGGATCAACTTTCTTTGCTGAAGTCTTGGCAATATTTGCATCACGTGTCTAAAAGTCAAAATGATTTTCCAAAATGTTTTTTGACAGCAAACATTTTCTTGTAATCGTGTAATCTCCTCAGTAACGCCCTGTTCTGTAGTTTGTGTCCTCCAGCAGATCAAATTTCGTACTCACACCGAACGTGTCAAAGGCTAAAGTCAGGCTGAGCACAAAGGCTGTGCAGAGCAGAAACGCCAGACCCGTCTACGCCATGTTTCTGGGACTAATCGCTGCTATCACGTGTAATATTTTTGTGATCGTAGAATGTTTATTTTTGATATATGATATAAGGGATTGATTTGTTATTGTATTGTTGAGTTGGAGAAAGCTTTTAGACCGATGTCCTTTAATGTCAGCGTGTAGACTCAGGCTGTGTATTATAACCTTACATAAACACGGGGCCTTACAAAATATTCACACTGTGTTTACTTAATAGGTCACAACAGAAGACATAGGACAGAGTTAATTCTTCAATATGACATGTTCCTGCTCCATGCGCAGACACAGTAAAGTCCTGTTGTTATGAGTAGGCTTAAAACCAAGAGAGACGCCCAGGCCTGTGGCACTGGACCATTAACTATCAATAAAATGTTAATATCACAGTCAAATAGGCTTCTGTGTTGGATAAACCCTGAGGACACATGTTAGTGTCTCACAGAAAAATGTGGATCAATCTGCAGTGACACTAAATCCAGTTGTTGTATTTTGTTGCTGCAGAGCTTCTCTTCATTAAAGATGGACTCTGTTTACACATACAGTATTTACATCTGTGGAGTTTTGGCTACAAGATTATTTTTTTATAATTTGTCACAATTTAGAAATGGGTCTCCAAACAAGCTGTTCCAATTTTAGGAGGGTCATGATAATAACCCCCTCAAAAAGGTGAGGGGTGGGACTCAGGTGACTCAAACCACACTATCACTCCTACCTGTGTGACGATCTCGTACTCGTACACGGCTGCCGCACCGCTATTATGTACAAGCGAGGAGCTAATCATAGCTGCTCATTTAGCAGAGTGCTAAATGACCATGAAAACACATGAGGCGCTCAAAGTGGGTTGTCATCTGTAGCAAAACAGGGCAGACGGCCCGTGACATATTAACATGAAGGTAACACTGTTAACCACTAGAGCGAGACTACGTCCAGGTTCATTCTTGTCTCTCCACTGTTTTCTGGAGCAGCTTCTTCTTCTGGGTCTGAACTGTGACTACGGTTAGACCGCTGTTTGTTATCGAGTCATTTCTCTCTCTACTGTTCAATGGTTGCCATGGTTTTGTGAAGCCGTCCCCAGGTCTTCAACCTGTGGAAGCGGTGGTTGGAGCGTTTAGAGGTAAAGACAGAGAAACAGAGCTGTTCAATAGGTGTGTAAAGAATCCAGCTTTTCTCTTTGGGTTTGGACCAAAGCATGTTGCTAATGATTTGTTAATACATATCCCCATTGTTTAATGACATTTTTCATCTGTGATTTTAGAAATTGGGGAAGTTGGCCACATTACATTAGACACTTTGAATTTGTTTTTTGTTGAAAAGTTAAACCATGTAACCAACGTATAGAAGATATAAAGGAACAGCTGTAGCTTTTCCGTTTTAACCAATGGTTCCTTCCTAGAGTTGTTTGAAAGTCAGTATCAGCAGTGTACGTCTGTAAATGGTCCCAATCAGTAGAAATGATTCCAATTAGTTTTGGTCTCAGTTCCTACTGAGCTCTTGGACAAAAGAGAACTGCTGTGTGCAACAGGCCCCGTGGACACTCCAGCTGTCAGGTACAGCTGCTTTCCAGTTCAAAACACATAATTGGATAATGTGCTGAAGTTAAAATAATTTTAAATTAAATGCCACTGCGTCTCCTAGTGATTATTCTGGTTTATTGTTTGAGTAGTGAGTGTTGGAGTGACGTCAGTTTTTTAAATAAATAGACAGCTGATAATCTGCTGAAGACGTTTGACTGCTCTTTACTCTTAGCAGCAACCACAGCGGTGTGAGGAGTGAGACTGGAGTTGCTGTGTTAGAGATGAGTCAGCTAATTATAGTTTTGACTAATGGTTACTTATCTCCTGTCTGAATGTAAATACATTTTAGGTCAGCTGGAAGAAGAAGAACAACAACAAACAGTCACAGTCATGTGTTCTAAACAACAAGTATGATGACAGATGAGAAACACTCAAAGAATGAAGAGTTCCCACCGTCTGACATGGTGTGAAGGAGAAGCAGGTTCCTGGAGAGTTCTTCTGTATCATCTACAGTATTTTGTTTTCATTGCCAAACAGAGAACATCATAAAATTGAAATTGGCTCTTGATTGTTAAAATGGTTCCCCGCCCCTGGTGTAGACAAAGAGCTGACGCCGTGCTCCGTCTTTGAAGTCATGTACTATTCACAGCTGAGAGTGAAGTCACAGAGGATCAGGTGTGTCAGAAGATACAGTTTCCCTTCTTTCCCATGATATTTGTTGCCTGGCGACCCTGACGCTGTATCTGTTGTAGTATCATCCACACTGGAGTGACCAATCAAATGAAATTGTCTTAGAGCCACAGGAACTTTTATCGGCCCGACCCTGTCTCTATTTCCTTGCCTTTAGTTTGTTTTGAAAGTTATCTAGGTGTAAGTGTTTGCCATCGGGAAACCAACCCTGAAATGGGCAATAGGGCAACTTGTATGATTCACAACTACTGATAAAGTGACATAGAGGGCAGTTAGTGAGGGTGACGTTAGCGGGTTTGCTTAGCTTAATCTTGGAGGAAACTGTGAGAAACAGCTCTCCAAACAAACAGGACTTCTATGACTGGTTCTTGTAGGAAATGTTTTGACCAAGTTAGAGGACTGTACTAATATTCAACAATGTTATACCCTTTAATAGAACATGTGTTATCATATCTGAGGTAACAAGAACCTTTGACATAAACCAGGTTCAAATCACTGTATTGTCCTTTATTGCATCGTCTGACATCCTGACTTTTTCTTCTGCAGGAATCTCTTGAATGGGACAAAATGGAGTTAAACAGAAGAAGGGTGCCGGTGTATGTAAGTGTCTACTTCAATCATCATATCGAATGACGTTTTCTGTGGCTAATGTGTTCCTCACCTGCAGGTGTCTCTCTGGCAGAAGGAGAGTTTGTTTTAGTTTGAGACTCTGAGCTCATTCATTGGCAGGGATAGTAGACCGGTACAGGTGCCAGTACCAGGAGTACTGTGTCGCATAATCACTTTATGACAACAAAACTCTTTTAAGTTGTCCCTTGATTTAACAGTCTAATAATGTGTTCTGGGAGGAGTGGGTTTTTCTTTTGAGTGGATTTAAATCAGTTGGAAGAACGCTGCAAAATCTGGCCCAAAATTCTGTTTTTGCTCTCACTAAAATGTAAAATATTCAAGTAGATTCTTTTTGTTTCCGTCCACCCCTTTCTTTCCATCTGTGTAGTGGTTGACTGGAAAAAACCCAATATCACAGGTGAAACTCAAGCCAGAAGGTTCTGAGTCCCTGGGGAAAACAGGCCTTGAACAGTTTGTTTGCCAACTGACAAGGCCCTGTATGAGTCTGCACCGTGGACACACCAGACAGAATAAGACAATAAGACCATTTGTTCCTTGGAATTATAAGGATTACGCAAAACCCAATTTTAAAAATTCAACATAGACATTCTTCTCTTTGAGAAAGTCTGCAGACGTGATTGAGTTATTGTTTCAAAACACTGTTGACACAGTAGAAGTCTGGTTCATGCTGTTCCCTTCATTTCTTCCGTCTGTCCTCCTCTCCCTCTTTAATCCTTCATCTACCCATTCTCTCTTTTTATCCTCACGCTCCTTCTCTCTTCTCTCCTTCCTTTCCCTCCTCTCTGTGTCTCACCCCTACTCTCCCCTATGTATGTAATCGTGGGTGGGCCAGTCTGAAGTGGTGCCAGATTTCTGGTAAGCAGTGTCGGCATGTTCTGCTGTATCACCACTTTCAGACACAGAGTGGGAGGCTCCCTCCTGAGCCTTTACCTTGACTGGCTCACAGGGACTGATTTAGGACTGCTCCAAAAAGCCTGGCGTGCGAATCGCCGCGGCCTCCGCCGTCTACCGCATGCACCTCTCCATTAGGAGGAAGTGGTGTCTCCACCCTCTAAGGTCACAGCTCAACAGGAGCAACTCTCACCGCTGAATTAGATCCAGATTTCAATGCTGGCCTTTGTGTGGACGAGCCACGGCACACTCCTGCGACATAAAGGCTGTTTTTGTAACGCACTTAGTAAAGTTTTATGGTACACCTCTACACGTTAGGTATAGTGTCGAGCCCAAAGGAGATACTGTTCGGCCAGATCAGTGGATAAATGGTAGCATTCACGTGCACATGGAACGTAGGCATGTTTTGGTGTTAAATGAGTCGCAGGAGCTGGTGTCAGAGAGGCTCTGTTGTTCAGGCTGATGCAGGTTTGTGGTTGAACCCTTTTTTAAAACTGTTTTCAATTCATTTCGTGATCAGTGTCAGGGCCCCTCATCCTATACGACCTATCGTGTAGGATATCGTAGTATCGTAGTATTGCTGGAACCGAACTCTTACTCTCAGTCCAGTTCAGCTTTAAGCAGCTCGGAGGTTGGGTGTGGAAACTTTTGGTTATTTGAGATTATCATCTGGAGTTATTGTGTAATGTCTTGAGTCATCATGTTGCTCGAGACAAATGTTAGTTTCTTTTGTTACTTGCCCTTTCCTTGAATCATGAAAAGCAGTATAATGTACTACATTGTCCTTCATGAATGTACCTCACTGTCAAAGTATCTTTCACCTGGTGTCCTGGGCTCAGTGAAACTTCCTCAACCTTCTGAGGGTTGATGCAGATTCACCAGAGTCTGACGCAGCAACAGTTGGTGAAATTAATCATAATAACGAAGTAAAAAGTTCGGGAAGTTGCACAAATCTTGAGAGAGATTAGTAAAAAATATGTTAGTCGAAGTAAATGGAAGGTTGTCTGATCTCGACCATCAAGACGAATTCTAGAAGCAGGCAAAAACGTTTTGTTGGAGGATCTGTTAGCTGCTTCTCTTATGTGTAATATTTTTATTACACCATAATGTTATTCATGTACCGTATTTTCCAGACTATAAGTCGCACCAGTCAAAGGATGAAAAAAGTGCGACATACAGGGGTAGCAGATACTGGTACACAAGCCTAGAGTGCCCCCTAGTGGCTGTCACTGTGAAAATAACAAGTGTGAAATTATATATTTTAATATATAAGTCGCACCTGATTATAAGTCGCAAACCCAGCCAAAAGATGAAAAAAAGTGTGACTTAACGTCCGGAAAATTCAGTATATTTGTTCATGAACTGTTCTGTTTTCACTGCTGACTGTGGTCATTTAAACAGAAGCTACTAAGCCAGAAAAGTGTGGGCAACCCTGGTTTAAAGATATCTTGTCATAGTATCGACAGTATTGTTCATTAGCAGAGGGAGACGACACTGGGATAATGGTTGACTCTGTTTTCATGACTTTCTCCAGAATGTTTTTGTTTTTCTGTTTGCAGTTTAACTCTCTCTCTCTCTCTCTCTCTCACAGTTAAAGCACTTCCATTTACGCAGATGGAGGTGGATTTGCTTTTTTACTTTCTCCAGAATGTTTTTGTTTTTCTGTTTGCAGTTTAACTCTCTCTCTCTCTCTCTCTCTCTCTCTCTCTCTCTCTGCCACGCCCTTCAGTGCTGTAGATCTCTGTTTGGTTTGAACTGCTGACCAAAAATGTCTACAGTAATCTTCATAATTATAAATAATACCAGGTACATATTGGTGTTATTATACAACAATTAGTCTGTCACGGGCAGCCCTGGTCTTTGATGTGACATGAGTGTCAGCTTTAATAACCGTCTTTTCTGACATGTAGAGGGCAGAAATATCTTATTGACACAGTAGGTTAGATCCAGGAGGCGACAAGTCTGAAGTTCACCACTACTGTCACCTTCACTACAAACTGTGAAGCTACTGTGACTTCATCATTGTGTCTCTGTGGTAATCTGAAACGTTTATCTTAATTAGCGCTGTCGAATGATTACAATTCTGAGTCGGATTAATTGCAGGGTAGCTTTGGATTAATTATTTTTTCAGTACATTGGAAGGATAATAACAGCAGGTACGTGTATGTGCTTCACACCTGGCTTTCTTTGTGGCTAATGAAAATAAAAGAACAATTAGTGCTTTTTTTTTATGAATAAAGTGAGTCCTGTATACTTAAGTCATTAGAAACACATGCAGCATGTTTATTTTAGTAATCTTGAATGGTATGTAACAGTGATTTACACCGGCTGTAATGCAAACCTTTCCGTAAGTGTTGCCAACATCTGTTCCGATTTGTACTCATTAACCACAAAAATAAATGATTTTTCAGCACTTCGACCCGAGCACTCACTCAAAAATATGAATATTTCAAATGAAAGAGACGATATCACTGTTCACTGGTGCTGACACTGGAGCTGTTTTTGTTGTCGCACTGCCAGTGATCTTACTCCCCTGACGTCACCTACATGTTGCACTCGGGGGATCATTGCAAAGTGCTGTAAAGCTGATGCTCCCTGGTTTCCTGGAGACCACAGGGAGGAAATGGTGCTGTTTTTCCTCCACTGGTCAGATAAAAACACATCAGCATGGTGTCATCATCATCATCCAGATTATTTTTCTTTATAATCAGTGATAAATACTAAATGCTTGTTGTTCTATGCTGAGGTATTCTGGCTCTAAATTAGTGAGGAAGACTCCTTTTACTTCTCCTCCATTGTAAACACGTGCTGCCTGAAAACTGCACATATGGGATGCATGAGCAAAAACCACCTGGTGCTGAATATTTTATTGTCACTGGATAAGGCCGTGTCACGATAATGCCAAAGACTAAAGGCCGTAGATCACGTCCGTCTGACCCAATAACAGCAGACCTTAAATCTTATGTACATTCGCAGACTTTGATGGAGGAGAATGTAAATAAAAAAAAAATTAAATATTTTGCGCCTTAAATCGTATGTACATTCGCAGACTTCGATGGAGGAGAATGTAAATAAATAAAAAAAAAATTAAATATTTTGCGTACAATGTTGTGTACAGAAACAGTCAGTTAACATTACATTATCAGTACTCCTGCAGTGAAACAATAATAAAGTGTTGATACTTTATTTATATATACGGCACCTTTCATACATTCATGCGTGTGATACTGCCTGAGCTAGTCACATCTTATTGGCCATTAACACAGAATCAGATGCAGCTCCTAAAATGATCTCAGTGTCAACAAAGCAGATTGTATTACGACCTCTGTATATCATTTTTCAATTCAAGTTTTTAATATTGTATTATGTAATAGAAATTGTATTATGTAATTCAAGCTTACCTTGTAAGTGTCAAACAATCATGACAACAACCTCAAGGTTGGAGTCCACTCATGGTCAGTGATGTAACAGAGAAAAAAAGTCCTATTATGGAAGTGGGTCATGAAGTGGATGCTCATTGGCTGTAAGACTCTCCTGTTGTTACTAATTTGAATTTCACTTCTTCTTCTTCTATTTTTCCAACTGCTTCATTTTCATACATTCCATTTAAAAATCAGAGGAGAAAAACAAAACAACACAGGAAGATGTTTTCTATTTCTGGTTCACTGTTTTTAATTACTATTCATCCCTTAAGGGACAATATTTTCTACTACTACAGTGACCAGCACCAGACACACAGGAACAGTGGTCTCTACCAGAGACAGAGGAGATGTTTGGGTTGAGACAGTGAAACAGTTCTGTGTGGACTTGGACGCCAATCATCCAATTAGGAGCCCAGACCTTTAACCCTCAGTCCAGGGGTCAGCAACCATCAACACAATTTCACCATTGTATCTACAGTAATTCACCAACAGCAGCAAACACATTTTGACCATTCAAGCGATGGTAGTAGTGCGGTGTTGACCATCTGTTGTTGTTTAACTAGTTGTACCAAAGGAAAGAAAAACACAACGTGCATATTTCTACATGCAGACAGTCATCAGTTCCAACAGAACAGAATGTAATATTTATGCCAAACTCAGCTGGTCTCCTACAGTGACCTCTAGTACAAATTTGTACACTTGACTTTCAGTTATTTTGTTGTTTTGCTGGAACTATAGTATGACAAGGAAATCTGGTTTGGACTTGGTTCTTGTACAACTTTCCAGCTCTGTCCGATGAGCTTTCTACTTGTAATACTAATCAATTTGATCAGCCGTGGGAGTTCTGTTTCTTGGCCATGAGAGTGCCAAGTTCTAACCACTAGACCACCACGAAGAGAGCAACCGTCCACTTCCAGAAATTGCTCAGTGGAAATTCCTACATTAAAGGAATTCCCAGGATTCTACTGTATTTTAAATATATGAATTATAATAAACATGCCTTGTCTACCAGTGATCGATGAAACATTTTTCAAATGCACAGTATAAAAAAAAAAGGACTTTGTAATTTTCTGATGATCCTGATGTCGTGTGTTCTTCGACTCTCAGGGACAAGTGCAGGCAAATGTGAAGTTGAAAACCACAGTCCCTCACGACGCAGACTTCTACATTGTTGTACAAGGTTCGATGCTTGCACACGTGACCGCAGCAGAGAGACAGGAGGTTGAAGATGGACTGACTCTTTCCTTCATGGTTCCAGGTTTGTCCTTCTCATCCACACACATTCTTTGTTCCTTGTCTTGTGTTACAGTTGTACCGCGACTGATTTGTGTGGAAACCATAAACCATAACATGTATCCCAGCCATGGTTACGATCCTGCACATCCTGACCGTGACCGTCTGTTCTTCTTGTGATGAACAGCAGCTGCGGAACCTGACCTATAGTTTGAGAACCACTGATATAGAGTTGTCTGCTGCCATGATAGTTGATCTGTGAAAGATGTAAATGTTATTAATATGACTAGTAAATGGAAATGTGCACAGGTTAAGACTGATTAAAACATATCTTATGATTCTCTCCTTTAGGCAACGACTGTATGGAGGTCTCCTCTGTAACGGCCTACATTTACACAGAGGACCAGGCCAAGCCATGTGGAAGTGAAGCTTCTCTTGAATACGTCACCGACGTTGTCCAGGAAGCAGCGGAGTACCTGAGTGCACACAGGGACCGGCTCGGGCCCCAGAGCTACCAAGAAGTCCTGAAGAGGTTTCCATTGCTCGGGCAGGCGGCAGACAAGGGCCTCTCTGCCGGAGACTTACACTGTGACGAGGACGATGAAAATGATGCGCGAGCCAAAGAAGGTGATCTACGTCATCTCGATGAGCAGATCACTCAAGCCTTGGCCAACATGGATTACCTTCGACAGTGGAAAAGTCAACAAGGAGAAGGTAAAGACGCAGCAGCCTCACAGTGAGACCTTGAGGGTTGTTTAGGGTTCAGTTTTTCTTAGCAGGTCATGTCATGTCATGTCCCTCCGCACCTAGGTGTGGAGAGATGTTAAGGTGATATTGTTGTTCAGCTGAGAGCTCATCGGCAAAGAAATATTCTCTGCGGTGTACTTTATTGATCCCAGGCTGGGGAACTGCAGTTTTTGTTTTAGTTAGATAATGGTGAAAGTCTGGTGAAAATAGCTAAAAATATCATCTCACCTCCCTGAAAACATTTGTGTGCTGCATTTTCAGTTCCCAGTAGAAGTAATAAACAATGACAAGACACGGATTAATTGTTAGAACTATAGTAGAACGTTGGCAGTTACATCAGTGCTAGACAAAGATACCAACTTCACCACCAGAGCTTTATACATAAACCAGCAACATCTACGGATGTCCGATATTAACTTTTTTCCGATATCCGATATGCCAATATTGTCCAAATACTTAATTTCTGATTCTGATATCAACCGATACCGATAAATGCCTGGTAATATTTAAAATAGATTAATTAAATAAGCTGCAATGCTGCCATCTAGTGACTTTCACTTTCATATACAGCCGTTTATCCCCCAAACTATTTGTAGGGCACAGGTCATTTACATAGATATTACATACTTATGCTAATATCGGTCTGCTAATATCGGTCTGATAATATCGGTCTGCTAATATCGGTCTGCTAATATCAGCCGGCCTGACATTAGGGGCTTGTGTAGGTATCGCAGTCTTGAGACTAGTGTCTTAGTCTGGTCGTAGTCCAGGTTGTTTATTTTAGCCTTGAGTCTAGTGTCTGTCACTGATTTATCAGGAAATGTTACTCTTGCTCATTTAACCTTGCTAACTGAATGCTAATGTCCAGTTTTGGATCACATGATGCAGAACTGACCAGACGGACGGACAGACAAAGGCCAGGGTACTCCAAATATTTAGCAATTACTGCCATTATTCCATGGTCTTCAGATCTGTGTCACGTTGTTGCTCAGTGCGTCTATTAAATTAATTCCCACAACACCCCCCCACCCGCCCGCCCCCCCACATCACCTGAGTCTGGGTTGTTTCTGGCATCAGACTTCACAGCACATGCCAAAATGTTTCTGATGTTGACTTTTCCAACACACGATTCAAAGGTATTGATGACCTGAACTGGACACGTGTGTTTGATCAAATCAACTCAAAGTTCATGTAACAATGTATGTGTTTCATTTTATTTGAGTTTTCCAAGGCTTCAAGAGTTTTGAAATTATAGGAAGCAACAGTTTTAACCAAACTATTAAAAGTATCAAATCTATGTATCATTTCCAACAGGGTCAGGTCCTGATTGGCTCCCTCAGATATGTTTTTCCTCATACCTTTAAAAGAGTTTTGGTAATGAGAAGAACATGATTACCTCCAATTGGATCATTAGATGAGTCAACCAAACAGGTTGTGACCTGGAGTCAAAGGCAGAATTCTACAAAGAATGAAGTCGATGGTGGAAAAACTCTTTAAGAACGCGTAAGATTTTAAGAGAGAAAATAACTTTGTTACTTTCATAAATAAATGTGTTTTGTTTTGTTATTTGTCTTTCAACTTTTTGACTTCCTCAATGCTCGGGTGCTTGTGCTGAAAATGTAATTATTATTTTTTTATGCAAAGTACTTGCACGGTACAAATGCAAAGTGGCTGCAGGCCCCTCGTCCTTCACGGCATTGTTCACTGGTCAGACAATGGGATTGTTATGTTCTCAACTTTGCATGAGAAACACGCAGTGTTTTCACCGCCAGTTGAAAATCAGGGCACAATTTTCCCAACAATGGGAAGGTTACACATTAATCAGTTCAACGTGGGGCTCCAGAGAGAAGGTGAAGAGAAAAAAGAAACGGTGAGGTCTGATCTTAACACTTAGTATTTATATACACATAATATGCTTTTTTTTAAAAATCAGTGTTCTGTGTCAAAAGTTAAATAAAGCAAAGATTTAAAGCCATGGGAAAATATTTCACTGGTTGTAATTCAATCAAAACATGAGGTGAGGGCCAGCACATGTTTCACAGCAGCTGTCACATTAAAGAATCAAGTTCTTCCAGGTTGTAATATTATAGATGAGCTGGAGATGTAGCAGACTGAACTCGTGCCTTTGTCCCTTCCCCTGTAAAATATGCCCATGGCAGACATACTATACATTCTGTTCATAACCTAGGACCTGTACACATGTGAGGCAGCCACACCATTCACCTGAAAAAGAAACCGATTTTGGAGAATATATTTTAATGTGTTGTTTTTTGCCGTCTACTTCTAGCTGCTCATATACAATACCAAGAAAAGCTGCTTCAGCTGGCGGTGCGCTTGGGTTTGCCTGGTCTCTCCGGCTACCTGAGTCAGCGGTCAAGAGATCAGAAGACGGAGACTGTGGCCAATGAGGAGAGAGAGACTCCACACCAGCTGACACAGACCAACCAGTGGAATCATTTCTTTAGAGGTCTCACAAGGTATGACAACGGTGTTACAGTGTCTTCTGTTAAAACTATAAAGTAATGAAAGTATTTGATAAATATGTAAAGTATAGGTTGAGTAGAACTGAGTAATCAAACAAACTGTTGCTTTAGATGATTATAGTTATATCTTTTGTTAATGAAATTAATACATTTAGGATGATCAAATTTTACATTGAGCAGACGCTACCTATCTGTTGAAAATAGAAAAAAATATATAATATCAAAAAACATATACAATACAATACATTTTACACATAAAATAAAAATATATTATTAATAAATTGCAATATATATTTTTATTTAAATATAATTATGTGTGTTAAATATATTTAAATATATTTAACACACATTTAACACAAATATATATTTTAAATATTGTGAGAAGCATTTTCAAAAGTGAGGAACTTTTATTTTAAATATTTTGAGAAGCATTTTCAAAAGTGAGGAACTTACTTTCAGAAAGAATGACATGTCTTGGCTTTTCTGTTGATGACAGGCAGATTCATACTGTCTGTCCTATACACACACCTGATCTCTTCAACAATCACAGAAAATATGAGTATGAGCTGCATTTGGGTATTTTCACAGTCAATAAACAATTGAAATATAAACACATATGAAACAACAGCAGGTGAGTTCACAGTCAGTTTACTCACAAATTTGGCCAAAAAAAGAAATGTCCAAAGGACCAGACATGTCCTCCTCAGCAGCTGACCTTGTTCGACCTTGGACGTCTGTAGACAGTTCTTGTGTAGGCTGGACTAATCCGCCCAGTCAGCAGAAACAACAGCGGGAGCCGTTATTGCTTTGTAGACAGTAGCTGGAATCAGCCCAGAGGGTAAACAGAAATACCAGAGTGTAAGGGCAGCACAGACTGCTCCAGGTGCGATAGGACGTCTTAATGAAATGTGACAGGTGGCTTCAGACAACGCACGAGGAAACGTAAATTAAACACTGAGACGTAAACACAAGTTTCTTTTCAACCTTTTGAGGTATGCTCCGCGTGGGCCAAGTCCCACATAGTATGTACATACCAGAACTGACAAATCAGGACGGACTGTCGTTACAAACAAATCAAACGACGGTTCATGATCGCACTGGACATCAGTTAAGGTTTGTCCATGTGGGATTTTTATATGAAGCTTAGATTTGGATTTTCCTTCTTCTCCCATCAGTTCTCCAGATCCGGCTCTTGCCCCAGGTCCGGGGGTGTGTAGGAGGGTGTGGTCAGATAACTGCTCTCTGTTGAGGTTTTGCCCTTGGACCAACTCCATCACCCTGACGGTGCGTCAGGCTCCTGGCAGCTGCCAGCAGGACACCATTAAGACGTTGCGAGATAGACTGAAAGATCCCAGTACCTTTGACCTGGTAAGAGTGGACAGATTTGAACTTAAAAATATCATTTTAAGAGTTAAAAAAATACTACTAATCCACATTTAATGCAATGGCCGTTGCTGTTAATAACACAGTTAGAACATGGTTGGGTTTGACTTATATTTATATCAATATTAAACCTTTGACTCACACCATATATTTATCCAAAGAAAGTCTGCAGAAATATAACCGTCAGTTTTTCATGTGTTTTAGATAAATATGGTGAGAGAGAACACACGGCTACAAATGAAAAACAAAGAGGAATTTCTCTGCAACGGCAAAGGTAAGTTATTTATCTGTATCCACTGGGACCAAACATTCATTTGTTTGGAACATTTTTTACACTGACACGTATTTACATCCAGTCATTCCACGGCCCATTCCACAACATGGATGCTCTAGTACACAGTGGCTACACATGTTGTCGTTTACAGGAAAAGGTTTTCATTTCATAGAAGCAGCTCGAGCTTAAAATGCCGTCTCCACACTAAGCGTTCATGTGTGGAGACTTCAACTTCAGGTCAGACCAGCCTCACTGAGCGCAGGGCAGTAAATAAGTCGAGATGATTTTCTAGACATTTTTTTCGTATTAGTAACACCAACGTTTTGATTACTCACTAATATAAACAGCTGTAAAACACATACATCTACCTGCTGATATTTATCTTTCTGTTCCAGTAATGTACAGTTTTCATATTTAGGGACGTTAATTAATCTTGGGTAATCATGGTTAAATGTGATTACCTTTATAATGAATATTAATTAATAGTGCTTATTCTGAGCTAAGACTGAGGATTCATTTAATTTGACAGCCAGAGTATTTCCATAATCAGACATGTTCTGCCGTCAGACTAACTTTCAGTTATTCCGATAATGAGTTTAGAACCAATGACAGTGACAGTCACAAAATCCTCACCTTGAAAAGAAGTCTCTGTAAAAAGCATGTGTTACTGCACTGGTTCACGTGTGTTGTTCACCCAGGACACACGTGTGTTACTGCACTGGTTTATCAGAAGCAGTCACGTGTGTTGTTCACCCAGGACACACCCGCGCGGGAGACACGTGTGTTACCTGAGTGCTCACTAGTGTCCCACGTCACGTGTGCAACAAAACATGTGGATAAAATAACAAGACCACGTAAACATACCAGGGCTGTCACCATACCAACATCACAGTATCAATAGCGAAACCTTTTCTACACTTTTCGATACTTTTCCAAATAAAGGGAGAACACAATTTTAGAAAACACACTTAAAAATAATTTGTGACTCAAGTAACTTAACCTAAGTACAGGTTTCCTGTCCTGGAGAATGTTAGTATAATCCCACAGCAATATATTAAGGAAGTACCAGCAATTAATTTAATGAAGTAAATAGTTGCGGTTTACGTTTGCTGCCAGTGTTTATGCTGCAGGAATGGATTTCTGGAGCTCGTGCGAGTGAGTCTTCGGCTGTGTTAAAGAAGGGTTGAGATTTTTTCTCACACGTCGGTGACAGTCACTAATGGTCGACACGGTCCTGTTTTTGTGCAAACAGGAAGTGGTGGAGTTTGGGTCCTTGCCTAAGTGAAATTGAACCAGTTACAATCCTTTAACGACTAGATCGATGCTAATGCTAATTAGCCTCTTGGATGTTACTTCAGCACAGTTGTTTTTCTTAAACTCCACCATCCGATCAGACAGGTTCAAACTACTGAAGGTGAAATGCCTGGCGTGCCATCTGGACTTAAAGCTGTGGTTCCCAAAGTGGGGGGCGGGTATCACACAGGTTGTCTTTTTCTGTAGTCTGTGCATATTCTACCCATGTGTGTGAGGGTTTTTTTTGGTTTTTTTTTTTGGGTTCTCTAGTTTCCTCCGGCAGTCAAGAAAACATTCCGACTGTGGATTAGGTGAATTGTCTCTGTGTGTGATTGACTGGTGAACTGTTAAGAGCATGCAGTGGCCCTGCCCTGTGACTGCTGGGATTGGCTCCAACTCCCCCTCTGACTCTGAAGAGAACCGAGCGGTAGAAGCCGAATCGGGAAAATCTCTCAGTTCTGGCTCCGCTATTTCCTGCTCTCCTTCGTAGCCTCAGTGCCAGAACGGGGACTAGTTTGAAACCGAATCAGTGCATATGTTGTGTTTTGGCTCCTTGCAAGTGGAAAACCAAATATTTGCTGTTACGGTTCCCAGTTTCGGAAGTGGCAAATAACAGTAAACGTTAAAGGAATGACGAGCTGCAGCTTCAGTTAAACCTGCGGCTCTCTGCCTGCTCTGCGTCCTGACCGTGTGTGTGTGTGTGTGTGTGTGTACATGAGATGGTATGTAAGTGCAGAGAGTGTGCTGAGGGCTGTCAGAAAACGGACCACCACAGGTTGAGTTGAGCAAACATTGCTATGGTCGGACTTCCATCACACAAAGTAGTGAAGAGACTGAGAAAACACCCGTCCAACAGACACCGTAAAAGGAACACTGAGCCGCACACGTGCTGGTTCCTCCTCTGAGATGGCAGAAAACTCCAGGGAGGACATGTTGTTTGTTTTGGTTTTTTCAGAGGTGACGTGCTAAGGCCAACGCCCAATTATACACAAATAAAAAGATCCTTCAAAACATATCCACTGCTTCCTCTTCCAGACACACAGATCTGCTGCTTTCCGCCCTTACCCAGTAGCCGCCGTTGTTGGTTGCCATAGAGATGGCTGCATCGACTCAAAGAGAAGCAGGAAGTGTTCCTCAGTATTGACCTTAACCTCGTCTGGACCTCAACCGCCATCCATTAATTCTCTCAAAATAACAGTCACACAGAGGGGAGCATGTTCTCTTCCTGTGGACCTGCTGCTTTGGATAAACACTGACCGACTGGACAGTGTACTGTCAACAGGTCTGTGCTGGGAGGAAGAGTTGGAGTATCAACAACCAAAATTAATATCTTTATTTCACACAGGCCTGTCCAAGGAGCCGCAGATGCAGGATATCATGGTGGACGATGTGAGTACTAAACAAAATACTGCATGTGTGCCGGTCTGTAGTACTCATCATGTGTTCATCGATCGACTGCTTTGGTTCGTCACCTGTTTTACGTTTGATTTCTTTTGTGCTTCAAAGGATTTTAAAGATGGGCTGGTTCTATCACTGCATGAAGATGATGACGAGAAAAAGAACTCTCTGCCAGGTAACCTCTACTGTACTCTACTCTACTGTACTCTATTCTACTGTACTCTACTCTACTGTACTCTATTCTACTGTACTCTACTCTACTGTACTCTATTCTACTGTACTCTACTCTACTGTACTCTACTCTACTGCGCTTTACTGTTCTCTTATCTATAATCTGCTCTCATCTCGTCTTGTCTCCTCTCCTCTCCTCTCCTTTCTTTTCCTCTCCTTTCCTTTCCTCTCCTCTCCTCTCCTCTCTTCTCCTTTCCTCTCCTCTCCTCTCCTCTCCTCCCCTCTCCTCTCCTCTCCCCTCCTCTCCTCTCCTCTCCTCTCCCTCCTCTCCTTTCTTTCCCTCTCCTTTCCAGCCCTGAATCAAGTCTTAGAAATATACATAGAGACTGATGTTAGCGTTGATGTGGGACTGTGAAGTCGTACTGTTAAAGTACATGATTGTGCAGTACTTTACCTGCTGGGACCAATGACACAGTTCTGTCCCTGGAACAAAGACACGACATGGGGCAGGCCTGTCATTCTCTGCTCCTCTGTCTCCCCTGCTGGGAGGAGACCCTGCTGTACCAACCTTCACCAGTTCCTCCATAAGCCGGGACCCCCGCGGGTCAGACACTGAAGCTGTGTACTTGAAGTTGAGACACAGAAAGAGGAAAATGTTAACAAGCCCAACTGTCCAGCACTTACAAAGGCTGACATTTGGTCTGAGGCACAGACGTTAACATCGGATCCTCTTTAAACGCAGGCAAACACACAGGGTTCCATCAACCCAGACAGTTAAAACACATACAGGCCTGTAAAAAAACAAATCTGCGGATTTGGAGGATACGTAAATGTTTAGGTGTTTCCAGGGCGATTGTAAATGCTATCTTCCTGTCGAGGAAAAAAAATGGTTTTACTGTAAATAAAAACAAACAAACAGTGCAGTTCAGACAGAATGAGCCTAGTTAGAAACATGCCCCCCCCCTCCCCCATGGCAGTACTGTGGTTGAAACATAATAATAATATAGCTATTACTATTACTACTATTGCTATTATATAATATATAATAGTAATTCTTATAGCTGTGAAGTAGAAAAATTAAAAATAAATACATGTAGCAAGAAATCAAATTTTTTTTAGCTAAATTTGTCAATTCATTTTTAATTCATTTCATTTTAATTCTAATGTCTTCCATTTGAAGACTTTGAGGCAAAATACTGTAGAATTTTGAGCATTTACTGGATTTGTGCTTGAAGTTGAAATTTTTCTGGGTGCCTCGGTTGGTCTGTTCCACCTCTGAAAGAAATCTTTCTGAGGTTGGTCACAGTGGCCAACAACGGCCAAATAAGATCAAATGTCTTTAATAACATTTTACAAACATTAAATCAATCAATTACACACACTCTTCAAACAAGTGAGGGCAGAAGGTGCCTCCAATGACTGCACAGATTTGCCCTGTGCCCTGACTGTTCGCTGCTCCTTGCCGTGGACTTCACAGTGTGAGAGCAGCAGAGAGGAAATGCCTCAGTGATGCCCAGGATTTCCCTTACATTAGTGTAGACTTGGCCGCTCCACACATCAAAGTCTGGGTGGAAAGTGTGCAGATTGGTGGAAATGGCATCTAATCTAATCACATTGTTGCCAATTGGAGCTTGTTACGTTGTTGTAACAAGCTGCAATTGGTGGAAAATAAATACGGCACAGAAGCTGAGACGAACTGAGAATGATGTAGTGAAGGAGTCTAGTTTGAAGTTGTGTTGCTTCGTGTAAATAGTCTTTTTCTCTTCCTATTACAAACACTTCAACAATGCCATTGGTTCAGAACGTGGAGAAATAACTCCACTGGTTTCAGTCTGATCAGAAACGCTCTGCATGGAAAAGGTGCAGCCAAAAAGTCAGACATAGAAATAGGAATAGGCTAAAGGGACTCAGCTTTGAGGTATATGTTTAGCATGTGTGTATGCAGAGTATATACATATATGTGTGTGTATATGTACTAATATATGTATGTGTGTATATATGTACCATTTTTTATGTACGTCTGTGTGTATATTTATATATGTATATGTGTGTGCATGTACATATGTGTGTATGTTCTTAAATCTTTATAGGTACGTCTGTGTTTATATTTATATACTGTATGTGTATGTTTGGACATGTACGTATGTGTATTTGTGTGTATATGTACTTATATTTCTATGTATGTCTGTGTATATTTATATGTGTGTGTGTGTGTATGTTTTTATTTTTCTATGTATGTCTATAATATATATACATATATCTGTATGTGTGTATATGTACATATATGTATGTGTATGTGTGTCAGTCTGTACTGTATGTGACAACTAATTATGATGTAAATGAATTTAAATTTCAGTCTGTCCTTTGAGACACAGTGGGTAAAATGCTCTGATTTGTAGTTCCTTTATTCAGTGAGAGCAGCAGCAGTGGTCCTGTCAACAGAGGAGGGCGCTGCAGTACGAGTTAGCGAATCACTGGACTAACCTCTGGTGCTCGGAATGTGAGGCTTATCTATGAAAACAAACCTTTAAAGGTCAGACATGAAGGAGGTTCACAGACCTTTAATTTCTCTTTGCTCGCTGTAATCCTTGACATTAAAGCAATGAAAGATCAATGGAACTCACCAGAACCAGCACGACCCACGGCCAGAGCTGGAGCTAATGTGGTTTGGTGACGTCATGAGAGAATCTGGAATCAGTATTTGTCACATCTTATTGTACATGTAGATAATGTATATATTGATACTGCAGTGTATCTGTTGTTGAAGTAAAATATTGAGTTTTTTCTTCTTTTTTTTTGGCTGATGTTTTTGGAAGAGGACTTTGATTTTTTTTTCACAACACTAAAGACATTGCTTTTTTTTTTTTAGTTTATGACCATATCTTGAAGGAGTCCAGTGAAGAGGAGAGCCACGTGGTCCGGCCTCTTTATGACACTCAGTGCATGGTCGCCAGCGACAGTCAGAGGACCGCGCTGCAGCCACAGGTCGGTTCATCCTTGGTCATCAACAATCTGTTAAAAAAAATGAGTACAGGCCAATTTTGAAGATTTGTTTTTTACTTTTGAACAGCTTCAAGTGTGCATGCAAATTAAATTGATGTTTAAAAATTGACGTGATTTTGTGTTTGTTCAGTGCTGCTGTGTCACTGTCCCTGATGTCTGATAATATCGGCCAATATTAACAGAATTATGTAATATCTGTGATCAATTATCAATAAATTATTGTTTTTTTCCTCCGGTAATGAAAACCCGATAATACGTCTGTGTCCATGTGTATTTTTAGGCTGACGTTGGCGTTCCGTACAGCATCAGGGGAGTGACGCGTGACAGCACGGCGACAGACAGCGGCGTATGGGACGCACTGGACACAAACGATCTCCTTTTAGTCATCGACACTCCGACGCATTCGTCAAAGTTCAGCTCTGTGACGTCCTCGCCTCGATGCTCACCTGCTGATCAGGCTCTTGCCAGGTTGACTCGACCCACGTCCTTAGAATCAACGAGTGAGCGAGACAGTTCGCCCGTAGAAACCTGTGACCTGAGGTAAAATAATATATATATATATATATGTATATGTATATTTGGGACAATTCAAATGTTTTGTGACTTTGTTTGTGACATGGTCTTTTCTCAATCAAGTCCCAGTCTTGTGGCTCTGGAGGTGGACAGTGAGGAGGACATGGCTGAGACAAACGTACTGCCCCCCCCTCGCTCATCAGATGTGGAAAAAAGGGCCGAAAAAGTCAAAGTTGCCTCTCGTCAGTTGCCTGATCTCACCTGCACTCGCAGCAAATCTGCCTCCTCTGCCTTTGATCCTGCCACCAAAGTACACAACAAAGGCCGCCGTCCCAGGAATTCTTTTTCAAAGGCTTTGATTTCACTCTGGACTAAATTCTTTTTTTCTTGTTTAGGACTTGGACGACCAGGGAGTTCGACTGCGTTCCTATTCCTACTCTTCCCCGAAAATCAGTTTCCGTCCCACACGTTTCGCACGGGACAGTCAGACGTCGGACATGAACCCAGGTCAGTAACGCTGCTGGACACGCGGCCGTGTCCTTCCTTTGTTCACATCACTACTGGAGTTTCTCACAAGATTTATTTTATTATTTTTTATGTCCTGTGTGACTTTACAACAGCTTCCAACTGGTGGATGTAGAACAGTAGCCAAAGTAGTTGTCCTAAACCAAGAGGGTAGAGGGTTCGATTCCAGACTTGTTATATGTATATATCCTACACCTACCTTCTCACTTCTCCATTCCTCCTGTGTACTTGGAGCAAGCACATACACATACACATACACATACAAGTGTGTGTGTGTGTATATATATATACCTACATACAGATACATATATAAACATATATATACATATATACAGTATATGCATATATATGTGTGTGTATATATATACATACTGTATATATACAGTATATGCATATAGGCATATATATATGTGTGTCTATATATATATTTATATATATATATTTATATATATATATACATATATATATTTCTATATAGTGTGTAAGACATTCAACACCTGGTCAGTACCATAGATCAATAACCAGGAAAGTCAAACACTAGCACGAACATTTAACCGTTTCCAACAGTTTTATTCAAAAGACTGATAGATGAAGGAGCAAGGAACAGGAAAGAAAGTCAAAAGAGTCACAATCAGGAATGACACATTACCTCGATTAATCACGATAAAGTACTATTCATCCTGATTAATCCACAGCTCCCCTGTGATTAATGTTATTACACACGTTAGTGAATCGACAGCCCTACTGTCTGTTGTTATAGTGGGCCCATGTGTAGTTGATGTGTGAGCAGCGTGTGTCCACTGTGTCCTGTAGATGGAGCACTCCACAGTGCCACCCACAGCCGATCTCTCCTTCAGGCCCTCTCTCTGTCTAAATCTCTGTCTCTGCTCAACCCTGGTAGTAAGTACTGGACCTCCTGCAGCCGTCGTCCTGCGTCGAAGCCCTGTCCAGCTGGCACGTGTCTTCACTGTGGCTTTGTCTGTTGTTTGTCTGTATATGTGCACAAAAACGCAAGGTTATTATTCTACATCAGCAGAAATATCACTGGGAAAATAACAGACAACAATTGGGTGATTTACTGTATGGTCCACAGCTAACGTGGTGACGTCATTTTAGTTGCAAAAAAACTAACAGACACATATTTATGGAGATTAGTTTTGATCAAGCGAGATTGTTCTTGTTGTGATCTGCCATCGTTTTCCAAAGCTTCGTGTTCAGTGTTAATCTGACGAAGCTCAGATTGAAGCCTCAAAGTGTTCAAGACAAACAGAAATAAGTTGGGCGCTAACGCTCGGCTTTAAGTAAGCGGTGTTTTTAATAACCTTGGCTTTTGTCTGCATGTGCATCTGGGCCGACCGGGTGTCTGGGTGTGTTTTTCCTCGTGATGCGACAGCCTTTATTGTAATGACAGCAACAGCTGGAGGGCAGGAAGAAATCAGGTTTGCAGCGACAACTAGAAGTGAACCGTCTGCTTCCCAGCCTGCAGGGGCTCTGGAGGGGTGTGAGTGGGGTCAGCAATGCATCTGTGTGTGTGTGTGTGTGTTTGTTTGTGCTCATGTTGCCATGAAAGTTGTCCTCTCTGCTTTGTACTGGTTTTTGACGTTGAGATAATTGAATACGAGGTTCTTTGAAGACGGGGACACGGAGCAGGGACCGTCTACCATATATAGTACCGGATAAAATTGTGACTTGTGTGAGTCTGTGCTTAGTGCCATGTAAAAACACACCTTGTTGTTATGGAAACAGTACTTTACCATTCAAATAATACACAGGTTCGAGTCATGAGAACGACTCTTTCTGCAGCTGGATCCAATAATTCAATACTCTGGATTCAGATTTTTGTATAAAGAATGAAAATTGATTCATATATTAAAAAAAACATTTCAAAAAAGTCTCCAGTAAGCTACGAAAAAAATAAAAAAATAAACAAACTTCGTGCAGCTAACGACCTCTCTGTGGCCGTATGGTTGGTACAGTTGATAAATGGAAGCACACACACAGGCTCTGGCTGCGTCCTGACTTTCTAGTGTTGTATGGACGTGTGGTGCAGTGGCTGCTCTTTCCTGTCAGATTTTAAATCGTGAACAATCTGTCTAACGACTTCCTCCTATTCTCTGTGTTTACCAGAACAAAGAGGCTGCAGCCTGCAGGAGCAGTCCCACGAGAAAAGGTACTGGCACTATTTACTTCAGCTGTGTATCGCTGCAGTGGGGTTTTTATCGGTCTCGTTGTTGAATATAATACAATGTGTCACAGTTCACTGAATATAACACTGCAGTTCACTTGACGTCCAGTGTTGAGGGCAGTGCTCTCGATGTGCAGGATCCTGACCATCAGCTGACACAGTGGGAATTCTGTTGAAGCTGCTGCTGTTCTGAAAAGTTCTCTCATTTTGTTCGGTGACAAATGAAACTTTTAGGTATAAAAACTAGGATGAACCTGCGGTACTTCGGGTCAGTTTATAGATAGTAGCTCAGATGTGGTGCTGTTCTGTAGAGAAACACTGGAGTCACTGGGTTACATATGATTCAAACAGAAACTTTCCATGACTTCTGTCTGCACCGAGGGTCGAGACACTTAGGAAAAAAAATCATTCTGCCCACTTCCTTTTCCACTATTTTTACTGCCACTCCATGAGTCATATTGCTAATGGACATTTCCTCTGCTGCTGCCATTAATGGATTAATATCCCAAATTGCGCAGCCACATAACAGTGGCTCCCCCTAGTGGAAAGTACCAAAAGAAAACAATGTTTCTTATGGCATTTGCATTTTTTTTGTTGTTGCATAGACAAATTTCAATTTTTCTCCAAACTTTAGATAAATATTAAATATTTACTTCATTCTAAGAGTTTGTGAACATTATGAAATTTAAACCTAAACATGTTGACACTATTGATATTAAAACAGATATTTATTCATCTTGTGCCTTCAATGTTGTGTAATAGTTGTGTAATAGTAAGCTATATAATTGTACCCTGGTGGTATTAAATATGCACGTTATAGTCTTTTGTCTTTACCTTCATGACTGTCATTGACTACAGTAATAATATTTGTGTCATTTCATGTAAATCAAAAAAAAAAAAACTTTACGAAGGATGTTTTTTTTCCAGGGAGATTAAGTTCCGTAAACGTGCTCAGTCTGCCGACGATGAAGGAACTATGGAGCTGGCAGACTCGCTCCAACATCTCACTCTGTCTGAGTTCCTTAAAGAGTATGTTGGGAGTTTTCAGCTCTTTTGACTGAGCATCAAACAAACAGACTAGCCCTGTACCGCTGTCACTAACACCAACCCCAGCTAACCACAACATAACCTTCCTCCCTCAGCTCAGCTCAGCTCCTCTTCACTAACGTGACTCTGTTTCTCTGTAGGCTGCAGAAAACTGACACTGTGTTTTAATAACGATTTTCTACTTTTCTAACAGCATGGGAATGTAACTGTATCTGTGCAGCGTCGGATTTTAACATGTGATGAAGTGTTGACTTTTCATACACACACCCTTGACTATTAATTATTTAGCCAAATTATGGCTAATTATCATAAAGTCGTAACATAGAATACATTTGTCTTTGGTTTGTTAAACTTCTAACATATTTTCTTGGCAGAAACTAAACTAATGTAAAACTACTGAACACATTCATCAGGAATGAAAATAGTCACTGTGGTGTTTAACGAGCGTCACAGTCCAAACTTTATTCCCTTGACCTGCATTTAATATTGTTTCTTCGTTGCCACCAGAATTGAAGAGGAGGAGCTGGATAATTACAGCGTACCCACTAAAGTGGAGTCGGAGAAGTACCGAGTCATTCGCACCTTCAGTTTCCTGAAGAACAGGATGTCCAGCACACGCAGCAAGAGCAAGGTAAGCACCACGCCTCCGACGTCACACCGCGTCATCACAGACAACCTGCGGTCGTCAGTTGACCTGGTTTCACAAATACGGTTTTATTTCATTTAGACTGACACACATTAGAACTGGAGATATTGATGTTTAGTTGTTTATTTTTTAACCTCTGTAATGTTGACTGGACGTGAGGACCAATCACTGAAGTGATTCACTGAAGTCTTGTCTTCTCTATATTCTGTTTGTGTATCCTGCGAAATTACAAAAAAGCTACTTCACCAGATTTTCTGTAAACGTGGTTTAAAGATGCAGCAAAAAAACAAAAACAAAACAAAAAACATTCTGGTTGAGGAGTCGATGGGTGAATGAAAGCGTAAGAATTAATACGTTAAACTAACTGTGAATGATGTTGTAGTGTACCAGAGTACAACAATTATTCATTGTTATTTATCAGAAGTAAATGTTCATATGTCAAAAGGTCAAAGATCAAATAAATAAATAAATAAATACATTTATTTATATAAATATAAATGTGCATATACTACCTTTGTAAATGTGCACACATGTCACTCGTTAAGATAACAAATTATATATATTAATATTTATACATTTATATATATTCATTGGTTCTGATATTTGTTTTAAATAAACACTTGATTTATGTCTATATATATAGACATATATGTGTGTATATATATATATATATATATATATATATATATATATGTATATATGTATATATGTATATATAGTCTGTCTGTCCTACAGTGTGACAGATATGGATTGTAACCATGGTATGTCACCGTTGTGTCTTGTGGTATTGAACACCACAACAGTGTGAAATCCCCAGTGTTTGAGTTTTGGTTCTGTGTCTCACCTCGGTGGAACACAGAACCAGGAAATGTTTCTGCGATAAACACGAGGTCAGAGTGACCAAACATGGTGTCCTGACTCTTTCCTTTTAATGATTAATCCCGTGTTTTTGAGTCAGCACAGGGACTGGAAGCCGTCTGCGTCCTACATCTGTTGTTTGTGCTGTTCTTCATTTCCTTGTCACTTTCTTTCGCTTTGGACGCAGGCTGCAGAGGAACTCCTCTCAGGATATTGTGATTGCAGATTAATCTCCGCAAACAGAACCTCGACACGATACACAAATTAAAGACTGTTTTGGTGCACGTATCAGCCAGGGTTTTTTTCGTTCCTTAAATGTGGCCTATTGATTTACACACATGTGTCTGTCACGGCTGTCAAAGGGCAAAGGGAAGGACAGGGACAAGCAGACGAATGGACATCGTTTTGCCACGGGCTCCTGTTTAGGCCCCACCGTCTGCATCGTTTGTGACAAACCAGCATCTGGGAAAGACATGCTGCACTGTCCGAGTGAGTACGACGCCTCCGTTCAAATACTCTGAAACGATCCTTCCTGAGAACAATTAAAGCACTTCAACCGTGTCATTCCTCTAGACTGCACCGCCATCGTCCATAAGGCGTGTAAGGAATCGGTCCCACCGTGTTTGAAGGTGAGTGGAGATGTTCGAGTGGTTCAAGCTGCGGCTCTTTGACTGGAAGTGTTTACATGCTCTGATGGGGCCTCTCTCATTTGTATCACTTAGAAACTTCAGGATAAATCTGCTGCAGTGACAAGGACCAAGACAGCATCCCTCCCACAGAGTGAGTTTACAAGACGCAGCTCATCAGTTCTGGGAACTGTTTTTTTTTTTTTGTGGTTAATGATGTTAATGTTGGAACGACCGTGTCCTCCCACAGATTTCACAGTGAGAGAAAGTTCCCCCCAGAGTCTGATCCCCGTCTCCGCCTCTTCACTGATGTCCAGCTCCAAGGACAGAAAAGACACCACCACCCACTCATGTCCCATATCTGGGAGTGACAGGTCAGTCGCCGCCCTAACATATTTGATAAGGAATACATTATAACTATAATAACAACCGCAGGTGAGGTCACCAACTCCAACGTCTGTTCTGTTCTTCGCTGTGCGTTTCAGTCGGCTCAGCGAGAGTTCAGAGACAGAGTGGGACTGGGTGAAGGTCAACGGCCTTTCAGACGAGCTGCTGCCAACTCCTGTGTCCTCCGTTTCTGCCGACTCATCATTTGGAGAAGGTACAGGGGGAAAACGAAAGGGAACTTTTTCATTTGTTGGTGTCCTTGTGCTCAGTGAGTGGGAGCTGCAGAGTGAAGGAATTATTCTTTGTTATTATTAAAAAAAACACAGAAGCTCTCACATGGACTACATGGTTACCGTACACAGGGGGTCCTCGGTTTATGACCTTGCTCGTCCTACGGTGTTTGGTTGTTACATCGCCAGATATGTATCAAGAACGTCTTGTTCCGTCAGACCGATGCATAGCGTTAAAACTCGCCAACTAATTTGCACAGGACCTAGTTGGCAAAGCGGACGAATTCAACGTCTGGACGGCTTTGTTTACGTTCAGTGGTTGTGTTGTGTTTTTGGGAATGTCTTGCCCTTTATTATGACTTCCAGGCGTTAGTCTGACTCTTCTGATGTTTTTATGTCCAAGATTCTGATGTTATCACTGTTATCATTACCCTGGCGCTTAACCCACTGTTAAACATGACACATGTATTATAATGTATTTATATGATGCTATAATTTGTTTAAATGAGTCGGGTTGAGATAAAACATCCTTCATATAGATTTGTTGTCTCCTTATAAGAATGAATGAATGAATGAATGAATGTCATTATTTTTAGCATTTTTTGAAATTAAAACAAGACATTTTGAACTTCATGGATGATGAGACATTTCTCTCTCCGCTCCTCTTCACACAGACTGTGTGGACTCATGCATTCAGGCTGACATCTTAATGGATGCAGGCGATTACCAGGCCGAGTCGTGGAGTCTGACGGTGGAGCAAAAGTTCTGCAAGAAGCAGGACAAGCGAGTCATCAAAAGGCAGGACGTCATCTACGGTGAGCCGCGGCGTAGGTGGAGTCACTCCACTGACGCGTGGAGAAACCAAGTGTGACCGGCGTGTGTTGTGTTCTGATGCAGAGTTAATGCAGACGGAGCTCCATCACCTCCAGACTCTGCACATCATGGCTGAGGTGTTCAGGAGGGGGATGATGGAGAAGGTGCAGCTGGACATGGAAGCAGTGCAGCGGGTGTTCCCCTGTCTGGACCAGCTGCTGCTGATACACCACGGCTTCTTCAGTGCCATGAAGGAGCGGCAGCACGGCTCCACCCAGCAGGACGGAAGCAGAAACTACCTCATCGGGCAGATAGGAGACATCCTGCTCCACCAGGTTGGTTTCTTTGGAATTCTGTGTCGACCTGTTTGTTTTTTTATGCACTGTTATGGAGGCGAAGTTAAACGGTTCTGAAACCGGTTCTGAAACAGGCAGCAGTCAAAAAAGACTGGGCGGCTGTTACTGGCTGGTGCTGCCAATAACACCATAACACTGTGCTCATAGTTGAAGGATTGTTGAGGGCCGGTAAATTAATAAATTCTAAATAAAATCTCTTTTAGACTTTATTCTGTTAGTATTGGAGTCTGAAAGACGTATTCTTGTGTTTTTAAAATTAATTTTCTTCTCTTTAATTTTCCAAAACTGAAAGAATGTTTGAAAAAAAAAAAGTCAGTTCTTAGCCGTATATAAATAATATATCTTAGACAAATATGCATATTTGTGTGTGTTTATGAATGTGATGCTTCTTGTCCATTTTCTGCAAGAAGAGATGACGATTTGAAAATTAACTCTCCTTGTTGTTTAAGGAAACCGTAGTAACAAAAGCTTTCTTTGTCACAATACTCTGGTAGTGGTTTTCAAACTGTGGCACGTCATACCAGTGGTTGTACCTGCTGCCAAATCACTGCAGCTGTGGCTCCAAAGTAAAAGTACACTGTGTGTTTGTGTGATTGTAAACAGTTCTCAGGTGAAACTGGTGAAACGATGAAAGAGGTTTATGGAGAATTCTGCAGCCGTCACATCGGAGCAGTCGGCTTCTTCAAAGAACTGCAGCAACAGAACAAGAGGTTTCAGAATTTCATCAAGGTACTTGGTTTTCTTTAATTCTGTTTTTCATATGACTTAGCATCTCTATCATGCTAAGTAAAATTTTTATTTTCCCGCTTATTTTGCTTTTCTTCTTCGCTCCTTTTCAAGCAACAAGGTAATAATTCATTGCATCGACGGAGAGGAATCCCAGAATGCATTTTGCTTGTAACCCAAAGAATTACCAAGTACCCAGTCCTGCTGGAGAGGATTCTTCAATACACGCAGGGTGAGTCGTCTGCTGCCATCTATTGGCAGACTGTCCAACATCATCAAAGCAGCCAATCATTTATCTGTTTTTTTTTTCATCTCTCAGAAAACACAGAGGAGTGTGCCGACCTTTCAAAGGCCCTCGCTCGCATCAAAGAGGTGGTGGCAGCCGTCGACCTGAAGGTCAGCGTGTACGAGCGGCATCAGAAGTTACAGGACGTGTGGAGCCGCATGGAGAACCGCAGCTCCGCTAAACTGAAGAACGGACACACCTTCAGGAAGCAGGACATGATGGGCTCAGGACAGACGCTGAAACACCAGGGGGTGCTGCTGTGGAAGACGGCCACAGGACGACTGAAAGGTGACAACGACGCGCACTGGTGCTAAAGTAGAGCTGGGTTTTGGAAGTTAGCAGCTGTTGTTTTGTCCACAAATTACTGTATTTGTGGACGTTCACATTTTTCCCTCCAGTATTAACTCACAATTAGTGTTAATTCTGACTTTTAATATACTGCAAATATATATAAATGATTTGTCCCACAATGGAGAAATTTGCAGCAGGAGTTTTTGCAACACACATGGGCTGCCACTGGAGGCACTATTGAGGCTGTGGTTTCTCTGGGGTGCGAACCCAGGACCTTCTTAGTCAAAGAAACAGAGTCATCCTAGTGTCAAAATGATTTTAGTGGACTAAATTTAAACTAGATTAAATTATCATTGCATTTTGTACCTTATTTTCTGGACTATAAGTCGCACTTTTTTAATATACCGATATATATAATTTCACATTTCACGCAGATCGCTCTTCAAACTTCATCGTGTTCTTCTCAAAGCTTCATAAAAACACAGTGAAAAACTTCTCACAACTACAGGAAACTCCTGAGAGACGTGTTTTATCTATATAACATAAAACAATATAATAATTTTTTTTTTTTTTAAAGCTTTGATTATTGACTTTTTTGTTTTTATTTCCATAGACGTCCTGGCTCTCCTTCTCACAGACACACTTATCTTCCTGCAAGAAAAAGACCAGAAATACACATTTGCTGCAGTGGTATGTACACATCAGCACAGTGTCAGCTACCTGACGTCATGTACAGCCAGTAGTACCTGCTGTAGTATTATGTCAAAAAGTCCTGATGTGTTTTTGCTCGATGGACTCCAGGACCAGAAAGCTCCAGTTGTAGCTCTGCAGAAGTTGATAGTGCGGGAAGTCGCTAACGAAGAGCGAGGAATGTTTCTGATCAGTGCTTCAGCAGCCGGACCAGAGATGTATGAAGTCCACGCTGCATCCAAGGAGGAACGGAACACCTGGATGAGGCTCATCCGAGAGGCCGTGGAGAGGTTCGATCAGAGAAGTTTAAGTCTTTGTCCGCGTGCAGCATTCACCTTCGTGGGTTGACGCCGGTTGTACTTTTTTCAGCTGCCCAGAGGAAGAGGAGGAATACACGAGTGAGTCTGAGGAGGAGAGGCGAGCTGCTGAGGCTCGTGTCCAAAAGATCCAGAAGTTACAAGGTTTCTTCATCGTATATTTGACTGGATCTACTCAGTATTAACTCTTTATTTTTACATCCTCTAATGCTGAGCTGATGTGACCTTCTGTGTTAGAGAGTCTGATGAGCCAGGACCAGCAGATCTGCTCCAGCCTGGAGGAGAAGCTACGCATTTACACAGAGCTGTCCATGGTGAACGGGAGGTCGGAGAGTTCGATGCTGGAACCGCGCTTGCTTAGCCACCATCACCCAGAGGAGGTACCGCAGGGCACCACGCTGCTGTCTGCTGCTCTGAAGGAAGGTGAGACATTGTCACACACACACATACACACACACGTTATGCAGCTACCCATTACAGAAACAGATACACTGCACCATGAACAGTATCTACATATTTTTTTTATAACAAATATGTTGCCATAGAGCAGGGGTCACCAAGTGTATTTCTCGGAGGGACAGAATATTTCTGGACAGACACCTTGGGGGCCGGACATTCATATAAAATGAACTAAAAGAAAATCACATTTTTGTCTCACACAGTCACTTAAAAACAAATCACAAATCAAATGCAAAAGTGCTGTCAAATCATTCGTTGGTTTCCTGTTCTACCCAACCACCATCGTCGCTAACTTTTGTTGCTCCTGCTTGTGTTTTGCAGCTGAAAAACTTAAAGCCACCTTGTCCTGGAAAACCTGTTCTCCATCCAGTCAGTCGTCCAGTCCGGTCTTTGACACAGACCCAGTGGTCGGCCCCGCCCCACCTGTAGAGATCCCTTCCCATGCTGTGGAATCTGCACCTGAAACCCCTGAGGTCACTGAGGGGAGACACACTCCTGTGGATGACAACGACAAGGTGCGTCAGTGGCTGTAACTCTTCCTGTAACGGTGACAGGTGTCGTTACAGTCTGAGGGACTGTAGACCATTACAGAGGATTTCCATTTCTCCTCACGTGTGTGTGTGTGTGTGTGGCTGAGGATTACCACCAGTTGTGTGTGTTAATAATTCAGTTTGTTCTATTAGAATTACATTTCAGCTTTAATGGGATGAATCATTGATAAGCTCATAATAAAAGTTAGAATTCCGTTCAGTCCCCAAAGATGCACTGCCATAAAAAATGAATATATCGACTTATTCCAATTACCCCGGCCACTGCCACAGATATGACTCCGTTTGCAGGTTGGTTTTTTTTTGTGAACTGTGAGATAAACGACTTGGATAAAAGAGAAATCCATTTATTATTCCATGCGCTGTGGTGACATGAGGCTTCAGCTCAGTGGTAGTAAGTGAAGTGGCCTCAAGGGGGAGCAAATGTTCCATGAAATTTTTCGGGGTGACGCTTGCAAAAAAAAGCAGAAAATATTTTTGTTCCTGGTCTTGACACGTACTTGTTAAGTACGTGTCATTATGAATAGTTTTGTTTTATTTATTTATTTATTTTAGAAATTCAAACCCAAGCTTGATTTGTTCCCATTCAAGCTCCTTGAAAAACATAGTGATTCCTCATGACATTCATCGTAAAGTTACAATCATACCCCAATCCACTGAAAACATATTTTATCTGGAAATTACTTTACATTGAGTTCACATTTTATAATAAAGTGTAAAGGATCTTGACCTTGTAAATGCTTCACCCCAAAGCTGAAACTGTCTGTGACAAACGCCAAAAAGGATCTTGACTGAAGCTGAAACTGTCTGTGACAAACGCCATCTTCTGGACATATACGGTATTAGTTAGTGAAGATAAAACACAAAATCAGGTTTTCACATTTGTTTTCCACAATCTCACAAGAAAAAAAAAATTCATTTTCCTTATTTGACATTTGAATATTAATCTTCTTTTCCAACGGTTAAATAAATTATTAAAAAAGAGACTTGAAGTTGAAACGCTTAAAATGAGCTAGGCATTAAAGTGGGAAAATTATACTACTTAATAAGCACACACCTGTTAAACATCCACGTTCTGAATGGCTGCTTTCACTGCCTTTACCTTTAAATGGAAAGGAGCCAGAATTCATGTAACCATGGCAACAGTTAAGGGAGAGAGAAACCAAAGAGTATTCATAATAATCATATTATCGCATTTACTGATAATCTAATCACAACAAGGCACTTTCACTTTGTATGCCATTCTGCCAGGTATAATAAACTGTCAGGACACCAGACAACAAACTGCGTTCAAACCGTATATGTTTGGGCCACAGTCTGTATTGAGAGTCAGTCAGCCAGTGGCTCGTAGAGGTGACGTAATAAAGCTGTTTGGTTTATTTTAGAGCCGTCCAGCAGTCAGGTTAATAAACATCCAGCCAGTTGTTGAAACGTCACCTGAAGTAGAAGGAAGACACAAATGTACTGTAAATAAATGTGGGTCCCTTTCAGGACCTTCTCATCTTCATGTTTTTTGTCCATGTTTGTCCATAAACAGATTGCCCAGAGTGTCCACAGCCTGACTCAGTTACTCTACAGTCTGCAGGTGAGTGCATTTTCCTGAATGTAGTCGGTACATTTTTGACCGTCCTCGTGTCGGAAACCATCCAGTCAGCATGTCGGCAAACAAACACGGCGCTTCATCTTTTTCACTGAGAGTCAACACTTGCATTGGAAGTGTCACAGTCATTATATATGAAGGCATCAGATGCCTGCAGACTCCAGCTCTGGTAAACAGCACACTTCAAACCAAACGCAGCGAGCTGCTGGAGAGAGGAACCCACAGATCTGTTGCTGCTCAGTGTGTGTGGGTGTTTTCTCTCTCTCTCTCACACACACACACACAAACAGAGCTGCAGATATACACACACATACACACCTCTGTTTGGTGTAAAATGTAAATGTAAGAAGAACGTGAGTTCGTATTTGCATCCTGACAGGTGTGATGTCTTTGTAGTTTGATGATCTTTGATCCAATGTTTCCATATTTAAAGTTGCGCACACTTCCTCTCCTATGAACCGGTAAACCACACATATGCAAGTGATGATGTTAATTCACGCGTTCATTTGAATCCGATTTTCTATTCAAACGACCAGCCTTGGCTGCCTGTTGTGTTGATGTTCACCCTCAGTATTTACATGACTGCCATCTTTGTCTCCTCCATCTCTGTGTCAAGGCTGTGGTGACCATTCAGGATAGCTACTATGAGCTCCAGAGGCTGCGGCTTCAGGAGAGCGGGCGGCGGTCTCCTCGGGTTCCGGGTCCTCACCCTGCAAGCACCCGGAGCAACACCCTGCAGGAACAGGAGAAGCAGCGCAACCTGGAGAAGCAGAAGGAGGACGTGGTTGCCATTCAGCGGCTCCAACAACGCCTGAGACAGGAACGGGGTCGCTGGGAGAGGGAGTGCCAGGCCAAAGAGAGCCAGCAGGAGGAGCAAGAGAGCAAGCTGGAGGAAAGGGAGAGACAGTGCCACCTGGAGGCTCAGAGGCTGAGGCAGGAGAGGGAAGAACTGGACCTACAGCAGGAGGAGTACCAACTGAGCTTAGAGCGTCTGAAGGATGGACAGAGGAGGGTGGAGATGGAGCGCGAATGCCTGGAGAAACAGCAGAAGCTGGTGCAGACGTTAAAGAACGGCCGACAGAGGAAACTGCCCACAGTGATCCCACACATGGTCATACCTCTACATGGTCAACAGGTATGGGAGTGACCTGCAGTAAGGACGTACGATAATATCGGACGTCATAATTCAGTTTTTGGGGATAAACGGCTGTATATGAAAATGAAAGTCACTAGATGGCAGCATTGCAGTTCAGCAACTCCTACTGTGGTTTATACAGATAAATAAATAAAGATAGCCAGGCCTGGGAATTAAGTGTTTGGTCAATATAGACATACTGGATATCGGCAAAAAGGCATCCTTAAACTGCAGTTATTTACACAGTGACTCAGTTACTAATATTTTTTCATTGCTAAACAATCTTAGATCAGTCCTAGAAAAGTGGACCTCTTTCTTAAAATACAATAAAAACTAAAAGTTCAAACAATATATTTTACCTGATCCTTGAACCGAAAAGGAAAATATCAGGGTGTCCCGATACCACCTTTTTGCAAATCAAGTATTTTCATTTGTGGCCTTGCCAATATCAAGTACTGTCAAAGGTACTTCTACAGGTTGGCTTTAATTTAATATGCAATGAACTGGAGGTCAGTGTTGTGTTAGAAAACATTAGAAAATATATCTTAAAACTGCATTTCAAATAGGTAAAATTATATAAAAAAAATTAGATGATCAAAAATTAAACTTTCTACATAGTTAACACAGCCAGAAAGTGAGCAGAGCTTTGATCCAGTAAAACATAACAATTAAAAACACCTTCTGCTACTTCCCAGTAAACAAAAGTGTTACTATAAATTGCTAACAGTAACAATTTAACCTGTGTTAATGTTAAATTCCTCCACACTATTGACATCGTTGACCTACTGAAATAAACTACTTATGAGGCAACGCAACACTGAACTGAAGCAGGGGAACAAAAGTCACTGGCTGACTGGTGGGAGGCTGGTTGTAATGAAGGTCAGGTCACTGCATCTGCAAGTTTTTTGAATACAACTATGAAGAATTAGGCCCAGAGGTGTTGGTGCATCCCACTTAAATATAAACACAGAGAAAAGGAATCTATCCCATAAAAATATGTTGGAGCTAAATCAAGGGCGAGCACCCACAATGCTGCAAAGGTTAGCATCTCTGAAGGGTTTTGGTGCACGTACAGTGTATGTGAATTTGAAAGCTCTTGTAATGTAAATTTATTTAAATTCTTCAAATCTGACGCCTCCACCTAGAAATACCATTCATTTTAAACAGGATAATGCAAGATGATAATTGTGGCTCTGTGTTTAATCTGATCTGAGTCAGTGTCGGTCCCGACCAAAGCTGTTGACCCTGACAGGAGGCCATTGTAGATATGTAGTGTTTATGGAGTATTTCTTAGCTAAAGTCATTAACAAGAAGCTTTCCTTTCGACAGCCATCATCATGAGTTACACTCATTTACACAGAGCAGCTCAATCCTCCCTTGATGTATGACCTGCGATAATGAGAGCTATTTCAGCATCGTTTGTCTTAGAGCTCCGGCAGCTCCGCTCACCAATAAACATAGCAATGATTGATGATAATTAAACCGTTGCAAATAAAAGCCCGAGCAAAATCATTAAAACCTGGGGCACGCGGCCCAAGGAAACCAATCAGGCGCGACCAAAAGGTACTAAATTATCAACACTTTGCTTTGAGAAGAACTGCAGCGAAATATCTCCCACAGCTAGAAGATGTGGGGGATAAAGGGTGCTCCGTGTCGGACGGCCTTTACATCTCGCTGTACTTTACCAGAGAAGGCAGCAGCGAGGAAACAGATGGAGTACATTTAGCCGCTGTCTGTCTCTTGTACTGCTGCGATTAGCAGGTGTGTGCGTTCAAAAGAGACACACACACACACACACAGCACTTGAAGAGATGGACAAATGAGCAGAGTCGTGCTACGGCGTTACCTCTCTCCCCCACATCAATCTGGCCCTGCACACCACCCTGGGCTTTCGCACGCTTGACGTGATGAGGTCTTCCTGTCATTTCGCAGACTTATTTATTTCAGGTCATCTGTTCCAGTCAGCGTTGAGGCTGCAGTTACAGCAGCGCTGTGACAATGATGTGTAGAGGCCCGGCCGATGCAGGTCCTTATTTTCTCCTGCTAATGTTTTTAGCCGGAGGCAGTGGTTCACAGGGTCAAAGACAGATCAAATCACACACACGTGCACACACTTTCCTGCTAATTATAGCTGTTGCCGCAGCTTAGCAGATAGTGTGAAGAAGAGAGAGAGAACAAGTCATTTAAACTGTAATCCTGGCTTCTTAAAGATGGTTGTTTAAGGTGCTGGTAGTTTACTTACTCTGCAGGTCTACTACTGCTACACACAAATGTGTATTTCAGCCATTGCACAAAAGCTTCACTGTATATGAGTGTACAACGGCTTTGGTGAATTACTTGCAGAAAGAAAAATATTGCTTGCATTTGAAATGATTAAATTAATAATTTAATGAAAAGATTTACAAGTAAAATAATTTAATAATTTAAATGAAAAGATTTACAAGTAAAATAATTTTGCAAAAATGGTTCTTTAGAAAATATAAAATATAAACTTGGCACGAGGAACATGATCTTTATAAAAAAAAAGTTTCTGTATTTTCTGGACTGTAAGTCGCTCCGGAGTATAAGTCGCACCAGCCAAAGGAATTTTAAAAAATGGTGACATACTGGTACACAATGGTGACATACTGGTACACAAGCCTGGAGGGCCCTCTAGTGGCTGTCTGTGTCAAAATAACAAAAAAAAAATATTGAAAAAACATGATTTATAGTCCAGAAAATACGATAATTGGGTCAATTTATCTGTCCTTTATGACAGATAGACTCAACATGAACTGTCTGGACGACACTGGCCGCCTTAGTAGAAAATTTAGTAGAAAACTTTAAATGATATGAAGTACGTTGGTGTTTGGTTTGGTTTTCTGGAACTGGAGGAGCTTGGGATTCCCACATGTTTATGTTGACATCACAGCATTCTCACTTTTCTTCTCTTCTGGCCTTGGGCTTTCGTCCCCCCCCCCCCCCTCAGGACCCGGCTCCCAGTCATTCAAGAGGCCATGCTGGTAATGGCTCTATGTTTGTGAACGAGGCGGCGTTCTCCAGCACCAGCATCAACAACCGCCACGTCAACCACAAACGCAATGACCCCAGCGCACACAACTGTCTCAACACCCTGCTGGCCAGATCCAACAGCAGAAACTCCCCCAAGGCAAAGGCTCGCCATGATCCACAGTCCGACCCCCAGAGCAGTGGGGGGAGGCAGACAGGATACCTGTACAGTACCACGGGACGGCTTGGACCGCAGCACGCTCCACCAGGTGAGACACTTGATCAGAGACAGTGAAGGTGTCGCTCCATGAGCAATGATCCAGCTCTATCTTTGAAAAAGTCCCAAATTAGGGATTATTATAGATTTTTTATCCCATCCCAATCAACGAAAATAAAATATTTTCCACAGGTCGAGTCATAGATGTAGGTTTTTAACAAATACATGTAGTTTGCCAACTATATACATATAAAAAATACCTCTTCGACCAGGATAGCTGCTGATGTAAGATAGACACAGAGCACCCAGAAAGTGTTGTGCTGTATACCTCCAACCAAATTAAAAGCCTTAATTTTAATAACGAACACATATTCGCTCATTTTACTTTACATTTTTGCCGTAGATAACACAAAAAATCATAGTCATATAAATTGTAATCATATAAACCAGGGATCCTCAACCCCCGGTTTGTGGACCAATGCCAGTCCACGGGTCATTTGGTACTGGGCCACAGTGGAAGAATTAATATTTTGCTTAATTTGAAGAGATATGGTTATAATCCGGTATTTTTTCTCCAATACTAAGAGAATAAAGTCTGAAAGAAGTTTATTTTGAAAATGGACTGATCTGAATCTGAAACAGTCCCTCAACGATCGGTGCGGGGCTATTGCTCTGCGGTACTGGTTGTTATTGGTCGACCAGTCCTTACATGTTGGTGCCGGCTGATGTAAAGAAAACGCCTGTAGGGGTTTCTCATCAGTGTCAAAACTAAGACGTCTTATATTTATAATCACGTCAGCTCTTAACAGTAACTCGTCTTTTTTTTTTTTAATTAACATCACATTACAGGAACAAACACTCCCATTAAAAGGCTGCCGTTAGACCAAGGTCACAGTGCTGTGTGTATTTCCCCCTTGTGTTCAGTCTCTATATTAAAGATGTGCCTTCAGACAACATCTGTGCTTCAGTGAAATAGAAACGCCCACTAATCACTGCTTCTTTTTAACGTCCCATGTCTTCACTGTTGTGTGGCTCCTCCTTTGAGCAGCAGCCGTTGTTTTTGTGCCAGATCTGTTGCTCATAACTGAGAAATCCACTACCTGTGAGAATGTAAACATGCCCTCTGACTGCACCGGTTTCAGCTGTGTGTGTGAGAGAGCTCACTGTACACACACACCCACACACACACCCACACACACACACACACACACACACTCCACTCAAGGTCCTTTCCCTGGTGAGGCCTTGTCTGTCCTTCCCGTCAGTTAATCAGTGTCTCCTGACAAAGAAATCTCCCACCCGTCCTCCCCCGCTCTGATCTCCCTCTCCCTCTCTCCCTCTTCTCTCTCCCCCTCCCCTTCCCCACTCCTCTCTCCCCCCTCTCCCTCTCCCTCTCCCCTCCCCCCCCCCTCCTCCCCTCCCCCCCCCTCCTCTCCCCCCCTCCCTCCCTCTCCGCCTCCCCCCCTCCGCCTCCTTCTCCCTCTCCCTCTCCACTCTCCCCTCTCTCTCCTCTCTCCGTCTCCCTCTCTCTCCCTCTCCCCCTCCTCTCTCCCTCTCTCCCTCTCCTCTCGCCCCCTCCCTCCCTCTCCCCCCCCCCCCTTTCCTCTCCCTCTCTCCCCCCCCTCTCCCTCTCCCTCTCCCCCTCTCCCTCTCCCCCTCTCCCTCTCTTCTCTCCCTCTCCCTCCCCCCTCTCCCCCCCCCCCCCTCCCCCGCTCTCCCTCTCTCTCTCCCCCCCCCCCCTTTCCTCTCCCTCTCTCTCCTCTCCTCTCTCCTCTCTCCTCTCTCCTCTCTCTGTCTCCCTCTCCCTCTCCGTCTCTCTCTCCTCTCTCTCTCCTCTCTCTCTCCTCTCTCTGTCTCCCTCTCCCTCTCCTCTCTCCCTCCCCCCCTCCCTCCCTCTCCCTCTCCCTCTCTTGTCAGAGGGAGAGGAAAATCGATGGCTTCTCTATCTATTGACGGGCGGACAACAGCTTGTGAATCACAGTTCACAGGCGATGGCTGACTGATTGGGCCATTGATCCTGAAAAATCTTTACAAAACTCATTACAGCATGACTTGTCATCGCATCAGGCAGAAGGCGGGAGGGGAAAGGAGGGGGGAGGAGGAGAGACGTGGACGAGTATTAATCTGCGCTTCACCACCGAGGTGTTGGCCTCGTTCCCACCTTTGCTCGTCCACCTTCCTCATCCGTCCCAGCCTGTGGCCGACTCCAGTATTCACCACACGTCACGTCCCTCAGCCTTTGTGAGACGGGTCGGTGTTGAGTGAAGCCGAGGATTCTGGTCCTGTTCGCCGGCTGCTGCTGGTTGAACAATCTCCTCTTAGCTCATTAACCTTTTCTCATTATTGAGCACGTACGACCTGCAGTCAAACCCAGGGCACTTTGTTAACAGGCTAGGGCCGTGTACCGTACTGTACTGTACTGTACTGTACTGTACTGCAGTACTGCTGACGTCTACCCACAGTAGTACATTCCTGAGTAGATCCCACAGAGAGCAGGGTTCAAATCCCATAAGCACCAGCAATTTAAAAATGAACTTTTCTTTTTACCTTCATGCAGGCTGACAGTGGAGAGATAAAAATGGCACAGGGCACGGCAGCTAGTAGCATTAGCATTGGTGCTAATCACTTTTCACATTTTTAGCAGCTTTTCTGTAGTAGTAATCAATAAGTAACATTGTTTGTTTTTTTTACACTTTTTTTTTAAATAGCAGTTGTTGCGACATAGCAAAATGCTAAAGTCTTACGTAGTGTTGTGCCTCATCTACCAGAGGGTGGGGCTGTGGAGCGGCTAACAGCGCTGCTCTAATGAACTCTTCGATAATTAATCAAAACGAGACACTTTCCTACAGGGCCACAATGAGGCGATTTATAGTTCATGTCATCTGTTACCATGACAGCACACCTGCCTCACCGCTAGATGGTGGCTGTCACACAGACCGCAGTGAGGACACAGGGACACGGGGACACGGGGACACCAGGCACATAATCAACCAGGGCTGAACTGTGTGTACTACCCTGAGTACACACAGTAATCCAGGTCTCAGTTAATGATATTATAATAATGCTGCTGCCTTAGAGGGAAATCCTCCTGTAGCATGGCTACACACGGCTCCCTGCTCTTCATCTTCATCTTCATCTTCGTCTTCGGGGATTTCCATACTCAGGTTGAACCACGTCTTGAACCACGGGTTGCGCGTAGGCAGGTGTCGAGGAATTCAGGCCATGACGATTGATCGTTCTGAAAGAGCTAATGGGAAAAGTGACACCTCCGGGTACGGGGGAGTCGTGGGAGGAGGGGGGGGGGGTGATGGATACATCCCAGATCCTTTTTGTTTTGACTCCCACTCTCCTGCTGCGGTGCGACAGGCAGCAGCTGTGGCTGATGTATATGTTAGTGATTGGACGATTGAGAAAAACAATTAGAGTGAGCACATTCAAAGGTGGCTCCATGTAGCTTTACCACGAAGTCTCTCATCATGTGATCAGTGAGAGCTCCTCCCACGCAGCTTGTAATGATTTTTTTTTTTTCTATGTGCCCACCCAGGGTATAACAGCCGCAGCTACATCGGAGAGACCTGGTTGTCAACAGCGAGTGCAGCTGATCTGTATCCAGAGGTCCCGCATCCCACTGACCCTCAGCTGGACCTCAGCGCTCTGGTTTCCTTGGAAACTGACAGTAGTGGTGAGGAAGGCAGGGAGGAAACTATTGTGTACCTGTGAAAATCCAGCCCAACACTTGGAGGAAGATAAAGAATACACAAACAGGCAACCATGAAGTGCAGAGAGAATAAAATAGCAAAGCAAAAAGAACCTGTTACCTTCAGACCTGAGGTCACTGGTCTGTCACCTCAGCTCGACGTCACAGCTTGGTGTTTATGCTCTCTTTCTTTGGTCGCGTTCAGCTCTTCCTTCACTCTGCTCCCTTTGGAGCGACATCGTTTTAAAATATCAGAAATGCGACATATTCTCATCTCAGCAGCCAGTGGTCGTTTTCGTACAAACGCGACACGCCACACTTTTTTTCAACCGCGCCGCCTTCAGGAGCGGTTGTTTTTTTTTTATCTGTTGAGCAGCTTGGTTTTCAAAGATAAATCTACTAATGTGTCTAATGTGTGGATGAATTTCTACAAAGACGTCTGAGTGAAGAGAGAGATTTCTCTTTGATGAAGTCGTCTAGAAGAAAGAATGATGTTTCAGGGAAGATCATTCAAAGACTTTCAAGTCTCCTGACTGTTTTTGGATTCATAACCAAAAACGTGGTCCAAATGACGCAATTTGTAAAGTAATGGGCAGATTTTCTTTTTAGGATTTACTCAGTATTTAGAAATCCTGTTACTTCTAGATTTTTCATAATGTCTAGATAAGTTTTTTTTCATACCAAATGTCCTACAGCCCTGCAGGATCATGAAGGTACCCCAAAGTAAATCATGACAAATGACTCAGAGCTTCACGTTTGAAGGTAGGACTATATTATAATTATATCATTTCCCTTCATGAAGTTTTTTATATTGAGTTTTTAAAACTAAAACAAAATTAACCGTTGTTTAATTTTGATTTGGTTGGAGTGCCTTCTAGTGGATGAGGAACGAAACAACAAGCTTGTATATATACAGTATATGTATATAATTAACTTTTAAAAAGCATTTAAAAATTCACATAAAGCCTTAGAAATTTGAATCGGACTTGAAGGGAGAATTGACAGCCCTAGTCGTAGTAAAAATGAAAAATGAATCCCACTGGGGGGGGGTGTATGGGTGAGGATGGGAGGCAACAGTGTCATAGATCCAACACAGTGCAATAAAGATGCATTATGTTCAAATTATAATTGTTCCATCTGATGTTTTCATAAAGTTTTTCATAAAGTCCCTTAGCTGTTAACAGTGTCTCTGCCCTTTCAGACCCTAATGTGTCGTCATATTAAATATTAAAAAGGGAAAACGGTGACATTAGACACTTCACAAAGGACCTGAGTCATCATTTTGACTCTGCTTCACCGGATGAAATGAAATGATCCTCAGAACTCCCTGATATGAGCCAGAACCACAGAATCTTCACTTTTGGGCCAGTTTTCTTTATGTCCATCACTTCAGTAAAAAAAAAAAACAGTCGTTTGGAGCCTGTTCTCACATAAGAGGAGAGAAATCTTTTAAAGTTGTCTGTACTTCTTGCACTTGAACTGTCCATATCCTCACGGAGGGAGAGAACTCTGCCACTTCTGTCACGGGGCTGATGAACACACATCATATTGGCTGGAGAGTCCAACCTGCAGGACCGTGGACAGGAACCAAAAGGATGCAAGTCCAACCTGCAGGACTGTGGACCGTGGACAGGAACCAAAAGGATGCAGGCACGGTCAAACGCCACCTAGTGGGTTTGTTGTTCAAACCGTGCTGCCCACATCCATGTACTTTGTTGACTTTGTTGACTTCCTGTGCCAATGCGTTGTGTCCTTTGATGTTTGTTCTGCAGTATTGTTGTTGTGTTTTGGTATCGTGTTTATTCAAGACAGTTTTTATTTATTACTCTGCAGAATGTTCTCCGTGTTCTACGGCAGATTCATGTCTCTGTACATAATCATGTTTACCATTGTAAAGTGTGTTTTCCTGCTGTGTCTCGTGTTCTCTGTTCAAACACAGCTGTACTGATAAATGGATTTTACTAAACTCAAAAGTTGTGTTTTATTCTCTTCAAAGGACGTTTGAGGATTTATTATAATAATTATATATATGTATATATATATAAATTATTTTAACAATATATGTACATATAAATATATTTCTATATAAATAAATAATTTTAAAAATAATACAAATATGTATATAAATATATTTATATATAAATTAAATAATTGTTCAATTAATATATGTGTATATAAATATATGTGTATGGTGAGAATGTTAGTTTGACAGTTCACACATTCTCCCCATCCTAACTCTTGAGGTTTTGTTCTGGAACTTGTCATGTAGCTGTTCCTGTTCTTTGTACCAGTGTTTTCCCCAGTGATTGACAGACGCTGCTGCAGCCTCATGTACGAGGATGTCGATGCCAGTCAACCACTGGAAGGATTCAGACCTTCTGACATCACTCTGTGACATCTACAATACATTTTTCTTATAGAGAAAAATACAAACTATTTCTATTATAGTTTGTTTTTTAGTGTTGAGTCGAAAGTGATCGATTTTTTTACAGTCTGATCCTAAAACTGCACTGTCTCTACATTTTAAACCATTTCTGCCAACAGTCGCTCCTGAGACTTGAGTCTACAATAATCACTTGTTCCTTTGTCATTACACACTCTGTGTACACTACACTGCTCTGTCTGCCCACACTGTAGTTGTTTTTAACGACCTCTGTGCAAGGTAACCAATAACACGGGAGGAAAAAAAAAAAAAACGATTAATGTGAAACTTGTTATCGCTGAGTCATCTGCCTGCTCTGAAACATGCGTACCTTCGGCCGCTCCCCGTGGAAAGTCTAATGATTTCTGGAGACACAGAATAAACCTGCCCGGACTAAATATAAATAATGGCCATTAAAGCTTATACCAGTGAGAAATGTTCCCATGGAAAACCCTGGACAATATACAGCATATATGGAAGGTTGTTTGATTTCTCTGGAGCAGAAACACAGTGTCAGGCCAGGCTCAATATATGGACTCTGAGAGGAGAACATCTACCATGTCTGGAACAACTCACTACGTCTTTGACTTTCACTTCTCTTTTCTGCTCTTCTTTTGTTGTTGTTGTTTTTTTGGTTTTTTTGGTGCCTTGACATTTCTCACTGTAAGACGAACAATTGCGTTGGCGTTTTTTGTGCAGCCTCCTCATGAAAAAGATTGCAGCCCAATTTTTTTTCTTCTTTTTTAAAGGTGACATTTGGTGTTCCACTCCAGTTTCTTCTTTAAGTTTTGACCCTGCTTTTGGCTGCAGTTTTAAGAGCAAGTTCAAAGAAGTTGAGCCCAAAATAAATGCTAAATAGATGCCATGAGGGGCAACACTTGCCACAAATCTGTAAATGAAAGGCTGGAGTCTATATAGGCCGGTGTCCTGCACTGATGGCCCAGATAAACAGCCGTGCTGCAGAAGGAGTAATTAACCGTGCATGTGTAAATGCTTAATGAGATTTTAAATGGTGTCAGGCCGAGCTCTTCGATCACATCCAGAGATGAATCGGTCCAGAAAGTGAAACCGAAGCTGGGGAAGATTGATAGACTCTGAATGTGTAACAAAAGACTGAAGAATCGAAGCAGGTTTAACACTGGATTTATGCAGCTTGAGTTTTTTTTTTTTGCTCTACCTAACTGGAGCCATCTGTGTTTGTAGGCTACGGAGTATTTCCATACTGTGTGAGCTTTGGGAAAACACATCTGTCAGCTGAGCTGAGTTATGACTTACATTTATGTTTCGTAAGCTGGAAGACGGTAAATTTGTTCCGACCATGTGACGTCAGTGCAGCCTTAATTGGCTTTGAGGCGCTGACGTTTGGAGTTTGATAAAGAAAAACCTCAGAACACAGAATGCCCTCTGCTGTAATTCAGATTTATCAGCATCTTCGCTGAGAGCGTTGTTTTCATCCTTTATGTCTTAATTGTTCTGGTAGAACTTCTCTGAAGCAGTAGCTGTGATCGTCTGTCACAGCTAAGATACACAGAATCACCTTCTTTCCACGTTTTTGGAAGATCAATGAGTAAAAACTAGGGATGATTTTTCCTCTCATAATGAAAACCCGATAACACAAAGCCTGGGTTTCGTCAAATGTTGTGCCCTCAAAATAGTTTTGGGGATAAACGGCTGCACATTAAAGGGAAAGTCACTAGATGGCAGCATTACAGCTCATTTAATTAATCTCATACTTAAACAGTGTTTTTTACAGATGAATAAATAAATATTACCAACTCTATATCGTTGATATCGGAAATCAAATATTTAGACAATATTGGATATCGGCAAAATGTAAATATCGGACATCCTTGGTGAAAGCGTTAATGTTTTTGGTTTGAGTTCTTCGTAAAAAAATTTCTAGAACGTGAGCTAAGTTTCTGCACATACAACGTTTTCCACGCCACCTATTTGAGACCTTTGAGATCAGTGACGTCATCATGTCACCTGTTTCTGGGAGCTCATACGTGTCTTTGTCTGTGTCCTGGTCTTTACTTGAAGAAAAAGAAAAAGCATTCTTAATAATAATATTTTGAACTTTATTGAACCAAAACCTGGGAGATTCTTGTGATAACGGCAAAACTGCTGCAACAGTCTGCCTCTTGGGGGCGCCAAGTATGTGGTTCCTCTGGGAATCGAACCCAGGACTCGCTGGTTGACTGAGTTTGTGTGTGTGTGGTTTGGTCATAGACCATCACTTTTCTGCAGCCATGACGGGAAAATGAGGGAATGTTCTTTTTTTTTTTTATAACAGAGGGATCCTTTAAGGAGGCCTCCTGTAATTGCCTTCTTGGTGGTTTGCACAGGGCTGGGTAAATGGGCCATAGACCTCTATCTGTCAGCACATGAGGAGTGTGTGACATGTGTGTGCTGGTGCCGAGGAGAATGGGTTTTTCTCTCTGATCCGTCACCGTGACAGTGTATGCAATCCTCAACAATAGGCTCACTCGTTAGCGCAGCCCTCTGGCCGCCTCTCTCAATAGGACCGTCATTTTTTTCCTCCCTTTGTCAACCAATTTACAACACACTGTCAGGTGTCTGTGGTGCGCGTGAGCATGAGTCCGTGAGAGCTTTACAGGTCAAGGAGAACGGAGAGTGTGAGTTACAAGATATGAAGATGAGTTAGGAGACGAAAGGAGGCCTTCGACCTGAGGAGGTCAGGTGATTAATTATGGTCAAAGACTTTTTTTTTAAATACTAAGTTTCAAAAACATTTCTTTCTTTTTTAAAAAAAAACATCAACTAAAGCTACCAAATCCATCCATCTATCTATCGATCTATCCATCTAAAATCATGTGGATTCATACTGGAAGACTACAGGGTTACAGCATTTCCAAAACCACTGCAATTATTTTAAACCCATACAGTGGCTCTGACTGTGGCTCCATATCATGTATTAGTTACATTATACAGCAGTATATGGTACTTTTCTTTTTTGCAGCGCCCCCTTTTGCACTGAACTTAATTCAACAAACCATGATTCTTATGAAAAAAATGTACATTAACACTGAACAAAACAAATAAAAGGAAAACTATTGTTGCAGTTTCTCCATTGGAACAAACACACACACACACACACAAAATAAAACCAACTCTAATACGTTCAAGTCCTCTTGAGGAGCCCTGCCCCTACATTTGGAAAACACTTCACTAAGCTGAGCCTTTCCCACGGCTAAATTGAAGAAGAGAAGAAAACTGTACCTTTTGTATAGCGTGCTAACGACTACCTTCAGTAATGACCATTAGCAGGTGTGCTCAAATGACCAACATCCATTCACCTCAATACAAATAATGTCTTACTGAATGTATTCAATTATTATAAAGTATTTACTTTTCATATAAAGTATTTATACACAAAAACAACCCCTCAGTTTACTACGTGCTGTGTTAAAAAGACAGAGAATTAAACTGTCTCCACCCCTCATCAGTCTGCACACGTGGATCCTTCCAGAATCTTCTGCACCTGCTTGTGCCCAGGGGAACTCTTTCACCCGAACACAGGAAGAACAGCTCCAGAAAGAAAGGTGAGTGTGTGTGTGTGAGTGTGTGTGTGTGTGTGTTTTTAACTCAACATCTGAACACAGTCTGTCTTCAAACACTTACACTTAAAACATGCAACAGTGAATCTAACTGCACACTGTTGTACACATTTACAAGGTTCAGTTTTCTTGTTCAGGAGGAGCTGATTGGCCAACACAGCTGCAGCCAATTATATTCACATATAAGGTTATTTAGTAGAAATCAATGTATACAAACACAGACATATATATACATATATATGCACACACACGTATATGCACATATATTTATATACACATATTATTTAAAAATAAAATTATTCATTTAAATTATTTAGATATATAAATAATTTAAAAAATAATATTCTCTTAATTTAAAAATAAAATGATTAATTTAAATTATTTAGATATCTAAATAATTTAAAAAATAATATTCTCTTTTTTGCCCCCTCATTATTGCTTGTTTTCAATCCTTGTGTTCATGTTGTGAGAACTGTATGTTACTGAGTTCACGCTGCAGCCTGTATGAACCATGGTGTCAGTGCTTGTTCTTTTTTAACTGTGGCCTAAAGAGAATGTAAAGAAATGCACTGGAGACTCTTTCTTGCATCACAATCAAACATTTCTTTTCCTGGCGTCATAAATAATGAAACACAATTCAGTAGAGACAGAACTGGAGAACACTAACATATACACTGATGCATGTGTTTCTGTCTTTTGTTCCTTGTGCTTCTCTTCAGCCGAACAGTCAGAACTGTTCTGTGGAGTGTCCATTACCCTAGTACGGACAGCTGTAATTCTTAATATAATAATATAATACATTAAAATGTATATTGATATCACATATATGTGTATATGTTTATGTATGTATATATGTGTATAATGTATATTAATATCACATATGTGTATGTTTATGTATGTATACTGTATATGTGTATATATGTTTATGTATGTATATATGTGTATATAGGTTTATGTATGTACAGTATAGATGTATATGTATGTATATATGTATATGTGTATATACATATATGTATATATATTTCTCTTGACATTGCTGTGACGTGACTCTTTTTGCTAATATGATTTCATTTGTCCATCCATCCACAGCATCTCTGACACAGGAGGCTAAAAGGTCGCTCGAAGAACCAAACTGAGCAGGGATCTTCTGGTAACCATGGCGATGAAAACAAGGTAATTTCCTCTTATAATACATTGTGTTTAGTAAAAGACCAAAGTGACTGTGTTAGAACGATTTAATGTCAGTGTATAATTTCATGGCAGTCCATGGACAGTGGTTTGTTTGTTACCTCAGTGCTACTTGGAGCTTTACATGGACTAGAGTCACGTCTGAGTAGAACCATGTGTTTTCACCTTGGAGCTCATCACAACTTCCTCTTCATCCCCGGCCATTTTTGTTTGCTAAAAAGCATCACTATTATTTAGTATGTGTGAAGGGGTGACATATGTTTATATGTGTTTACAAATGTGAGTAATGTTGTTTCTGTTTGGTTGTTTGGCTCTGAAATGATCATTAATTGTGGTTATTAACGAAGATTACTGCCCGATGAATAAAAACCCAATTTTAAAGCTCGTTAAAATTTCATGTTCTGCTCACAGGTTTTTACAATTTTAGATTTAAAAAACGTAATGTCTGTCAGGTGCACTTTATTGGAGACCCCCTCCCCTCCCCTCCCCTCCTCTCCTCTCTCCCTTCTTTTTGTTCTGCTGCTGCAGCCCTTTGGTGTCAAAAATCTCTGAGGCACTGCAGTATTTCAGCTTTGTTCCTGTACAGATGCTGCTGGTCTTTGAGATGATTCTTACTAGACCTGATGTTAAAACTCCTGCAGTTTCACTTCTTTGATGTGTTTTTCATTTCTCCTCCAGAGGAAAATGCTTTCTTTCTTTCTTTCTTTCTTTTTTGAAGGAAAATGCTTTCTTTCTTACTTTCTTTTTTGAGTGATGGAAAAGAAGAAAGATTCAACATTATTTGTTAGATTGTAAGAGTAGTTCAATCACAGAACATGGCTTTATAGTTATTGAATTTCTGTATTAGGTTTTGACTCCAGGCTTGTTCTTTACAGCTCTGTGTGTGACTCTTTTGATATATATATGTATGTATGTGTATATATATTTATCCACATCATGGCTGTAAATTCAATCAAATGAATTGGTTTTAAAGCATTTCGGTCAAATTCTGAAGGTGTTCAATCGACTGTGTGTCTTGTCTTGCTGCTCAGTGTTTGGCTTTGGTGATTTCGACCAGCTGTCTCTGTCTGAACGGCTAGAATGTAGCATCTGTTCCATGATCACCTTGAGGATCAGCAGATCAGTTCAGTGTCTCGTGTAAGGGCAGTTTTGTGTATAGAACATTTTGAGAGTGTAAGGTCACCTCTGCTTTATATCAACAGAGCCATCAACAAAGTGAAACTATCCAAGTTATTAACTAAATCTCCTTAATATCCTACAGTGATCATTATGAAGTGGTTAAACCAGGTTCGACTCAACAATCGGTACTTGTACAAAAAGCCGTGTTGTTTCACCAATGATCTATTCAGCACTAATGATCCACGTACTGGTTGTAACAATAGTGACCCCTGCCACGTCCACAGGTATATATATAAAGGATTGGGATTCTGTTGCTGTAAGTGTCCAGTAAACAACAAACAACAACAACACCATCACTATTATAAAAATATATATAATATATATATATATGTGTATATATTTTTTTATATATGTATATATGTATGTATATATATAAATGTAACCATCAAGTGAAAGTAAAAACAAGAACAGATTTTAAATGCCTACAGTAATGTAAGACATGTTGCGGTTCAAAGTGATGCATGATGGTAGAGGATAAGTTATAGCATCTGCTGAACACATGGCAGGTTGGAATGGTGATAATAACAGTGGAAATATTAGGTCTGAGGAGCGTGTACAGCATGTAGAAATGGTGCTAACCGTATGTAGATGATGGTATGAATGAATGATGAGGAGCATGTTGAAGGTTTCCACCAGCTTGAATGACGATGACTTTAGATCATATAAGGTTTTGAAGCAAACGTTAAGATAAATGACATGTAAAAGTCATGCATAAAGACTAAGATGCTAAAGAAGCCTTCTCTACGCCATCTATAGGGAAAATGTGGGCATTGCAAGGAAAAGGCAGAAATATAATCACAATTCAATCCAATTATATAATTTGGACAACTTTGGGCCGGATTACAAAGATGAACGAGCAGCATCCGGCCCTCGGGCCTTATTTTGCCCATGTTTGTTTGGTTTTTTTTAAATCATCTTTTTACATAAAGGTACATGCAAATCAACTATAAGTACCTCCTAACGAGGGGGATTCTCCTGGTGGTCTGTTGCAGTATTTATGCCATTGGTGTATTTGAACATGTTGACGTGCAGCCACACGTGTGTCATATGAGGACACACAGTAACAACCAACCCCTGAGCCCTGTATAAGTTAACACTACAGCAGTGTAAACACTGGAGTGACACAATGTCCCAATTATCCAGACGACACTGTTTCAGGGGCCAGTTAGTGTCAGAGAGACCCTCCCCCCCCCCCACCGCCCCCCCCCCCCACCGCCTGCCTCTAACAAATGTGTCATAGAATCTTTTGGAGTCTGATTTTTTTTTTAATAAATACAAAAGGACAAATTTGAATAATAATTGAATAGCAACGAGCTAACACTCTTAGTGTGTGTTTTAACTGCACAACGGCTTCAAACACTTAACTCACACTTGACAGAAATCCTCCCAGCATGACTCATGTAGACTCTTCACTTTGTGACCTTTAATGAGAGAAGAGCATTTAACAGTCACTGGTTCCCCATAAAGTGCCATAAAAGTAGCTCTGATGTGCCACGTTACGGCCTATTAAACTTTCCCTATTACAGGATCCTCGTCTCATTACAAATGAACACCCACTAGGGTGTGGACGTCCACACCTCCAGTCTGAGGACTTGGCCTTTTAAAGAGCCGTCTCATAGAAAAGGGAGAATTGACGATCACGCACTAACTCACGCACTTTGACACGTGAAGTTTGTTTGGAAGTTTTTGGGATGATCAAATCAACAACTTCAGATGTGTTATCTAATTTTTTTTAAATTAAATTACTGTATTTCTAATTATTCTAATTATCATCGTCATCTTAATGAAGCTGAAATAACAGGACAGGAGGAAGATTTTTCTGGTGTAAAAATACAAAGATGGAAGAGTCAATATGCACGTTTTAACACTGTTTTAGTTTCACAGAACTACCTCAAGCTTAAAATACCAAAAATCCAACCCCAACTCCATGAAGCGAAATTTGAACTGCTACTATTTTCTCCTTTACATTTTTAAATTTTGAATTCTTTACTCATTTTGCCATCTTCAGAGTCAGTTAATCATGATTATTTGTTATTAATCCACAGCGACTACTGTGATTCATTTTATTAAATCACTTGGTTTGTTTTGCAGATTGAGAGCTGTAACATTTTTGTCTCCCATTTGTACCAAGTTAGTAACTGGGATTACTCAGCATCTCCACGCAGCTTTTGGTAAATCTGTGCTCTGGTGGGCGAGGAGATTGATGTTCTGAGAAGTTCAGAAGAGCATCTGCATTTCATTTAAACGAATGGGAGGAATGGAAATCCAATAGCGTTTGTGCCTTTGCGGCAGAGCCGTTCTTTGTTTGTATGTGTTTCATGTATGAAGGGTGGAGGGTTATGTTTGCACCTGGCACACATTATGTGTTTCTGGTGTTGGTGGTTGTTGTGAAAACAGGAAAAAGAAAAAAAAAAGCCCAATATGTGTTCGTCAGTACGAGTGTGTGTGTGTGTGTGTGTGTGTGTGTGTGCACTCTTGCACACCCTGCATTCCTGTGTCCTTGTTAATGGCTGCCTTTTGTCACTCAGGACATGAGGCCCAGCGCTGCTCCGACACCAAATTTATTCATGAAGAACATAATAATCAGACAGTAGAAATGAGGTGGGAAATGGGAATAGTTGGTGAGCGGTGATGGGCTGCCGCGTGTCCTTGGTCCCTCTGTGTCTCTGTGGTGAAGACACAGATGGATACACTCATTCAGAACCAGGTGACTGACAGCTACGGTCTCTGTCAGCGTTTCATTTACACAGCCGGCTGTCTGGGACCGATAACCCTCGGTGATGGAGCTGCCGCAGCGGTGACAGAGGAGAGGGCTCGAGTGTTTAATTGTGATTCATCTGCTGGTCACTCATCAGCCCGAGCTCCGTGCTGCAGAAAATGGAGGACATGCCGCCTGGGTGTTGATGATAGATCATGGATAATGAGAGTGTGAGGAGTTCACATGTCATACAAGTCATCAGGGCCTTTTCTGCCTCCTGTGAGTTGGTGAATCATCTCCTCTTGGGCCGAGCGAGAAAGAAAAGCAGGAGAAAGATACTGCTTTTTAATTTGTGAGGAAGCGCCACCTGTGATCCATCAGCTGGTGGAATTGTCTTGTAGCGGGGGGGGGGGGGGGGGGCGAGGGGCACAAGGGTCCCCCCGCGCGCCTGCTTGCTCACTCCCTGAGTATGTTTTACAATGAGCTAAATTCATAATTAAGCTTTGATAAGACTTTTTATTTACTTACCCCGCACCTTAGATTGACCCACCTCTGTAGTCCGACGAGCTGTGATGGAGGCAGGACGTGGAGGGGGTGGAGGGGGTGGAGGCGCCCATGATTTAAATCATGTCAGCAGTACATGAAGATGTGAAAGCGGTGGCATTGATCAGTGTTTTCCTTCTCAAGGTCTAATGTCTAATGAGGATATTTGAACAGACGAGGGGCGGAGACACCAGCCTGGCACTGTGGGCGGCTGTCCATCATTTTTAGACGCAGATTTTCCATGATTGTTTTGTTCAAATTGATTCATATCAACACGAAAGACAAAGGAAGGTGTTTTTTTTTTACTGTTTATATAAACACGCCTGTGAAACGATGGCACCTGTACAGTATCATTATCATATAAGAAGACGATCAGGTCGTTACCTTAAAATGTTGTTGGAACCGAGGGTAGGGTCACCGCACGGAAAACAGTCAGGTGTACTCGGGTCAAAAACTATAAAGTAATATTACTTTTTTTTGTTTTATTTTTCTCTTTATATATATATATATATGTGTGTGTATGTTTGTATATATGTATGTGTGTATATATGTATATGTACTGTAT